GGGGGTAATTGCCTCAAAATTTAGGAATTAGGGGATAAAAAGGGGCAAAAAACAAGCATTTTTATACGACTGCAAAAAAATTTTGAGGTCGTATATTGGTATGACGTTGGCGTCGTCGTCGTCGTCGTCGGCGTCGTCGTCCGAATACACAATGGTTTTCGCACTCTAACTTTAGTTTAAGTGAATGGATCTCTATGAAATTTTACCATAAGGTTCAATACTACAATAGGAAGGTGGGGATTGATTTTGGGGGTTATGGTACCAACAGTTAAGGAATTAGGGGCCAAAAAGGGGCCGAAAATAAGCATTTTTGTAACTTCCAGACATAACTTGTGTGTTAGCATATGGATCTCTTTGACATTGTACCACAAGATTCCATATCACAAAGGGTCAATGCTGGGATTGATTTTGGGGTTAATTGCCTCAAAATTTTAGGAATAAGGGGCCAAAAGGGGGCAAAAATCAAGCATTTTTCTAGTTTCATGACAATAACTTGTGTGTAAGTGTATGGATCTTTCTGAAATTTTACTACAAGGTTCCATTTCACAAAGGGAAAGCTGGAATTGAGTGTTGTGGTAATTGCCCAAAACGTTTAGTAATAAGGGGCCTAAAAAGGGGTTTAAAATAAGCATTTTTTAGTTTCTAGACAATAACTTGTGTTCAAGTGTATGGATCTCTCTAAAATTGTATTACAAGGTACCATACCACAAAGGCAAGGCTGTTATTGAGCTTGGTTTGGGGGGAAAGGGGGGTGGGGGTGATGAATCATAAGGGGGGCGGGGGTCAAAAAAGGGGTAATTTTTTTTTTTCCTTTTTTTTTTGTTTAAAATTTACATTTTAAGTTAGTTATTTTTTATCACGAAGAGAAAGTAGGAATTGAGTTTTGGGGTTAATTGCTCAAACATTTATGAATAAAGGGCCAAATATTGGTCAAAAATAAGGATTTTTTTAGTTTGCAACAAAAACTTGTGTTCAAGTGTATGGATCTCTGTGAAATTGTATTGCAATGTACCATTCCACAAATTGAAGGTTGTGATTGAGGTGGGGGATGATGAATCAAAAGGGGGTGGAAAAAATGTGTGGGAGGTAGGATTTTTTTTTTTCCTTTTTTTTTCTTTAAAATTTTCCATTTAAAGATGGTTGTTTCAGATTTATATATGAAAGAAAATAATAATGATACGGTTATATATCATGAGGAATTGAAATTTAATATTATGTATATTGGAAATTTAAGTTACATTGGAAAGTAATAATTGGCTTTGGGGGGGGGGGGGGAGGGGGTGGTTATGGCTCTAATGTTTAAGGAATAAGGGGCAAAAAGGTTAAAAAACAAGGGTTTCCATTTTAATAGACAAATAATTGAGTAAAGAACATTATTTAAAAGCAGTGTAAGGTTGGTAATTCAAACTCATTTAAATATCTCATCTACACTGCTTTTAAATTATGTAAATTGGAAATTTGCCAATAACTTTATTGTTAATAAATGCATTGGATATTTGCCAACAATTTTAGTGTAATAAACTTCATTGGAAATTTGCCAATATAAAATTTTGCTGATGAAGGTTTTTTGTTTACCTTTAGCCTTGACTATGAAGTCATTTTCTATTTTTATAGCCTTATGATGTAGTTGAATTATTTAATACTTTTATGATGTGTTTAAATGGGGTTTTATCATGTTTATGGTTGCAAATTTATTGTTTTAGTATAATAAACTCCATTTAAAATTTGCCAATAAAAAAACTTTTTGTTTATTTTTAGCTATGATTATGATGTCATTTTCTATTTTACTTTTATGGTTGCAAAGAAATTTTTATTTTTAGATATTACTGTTAAATGATGCTGATTAAGGTTTTTGCTATGTTTAGCCATGACTATGATGTCATTTTTTATTTTAATATCTGTTATGATGTATTTAAATGGGCTTTTATGGTTACAAAGGAATTTTATTTTTAGATATTACTATAAAATGTTGCTGATGCTGATTAAGGATTTTGTTTATTTTTAGCCATGACTATGATGTCATTTTCTATTTTAATACCTTTATGATGTAATTTCCATTTTTAGCTCACCTGACCTGAAAGGTCAAGTGAGCTTTTCTCATCACTTTGCGTCCGTCGTCCGTCGTCCTGCGTCCGTCGTCCGTAAACTTTTACAAAAATCTTCTCCTCTGAAACTACTGGGCCAAATGCACCCAAACTTAAACACAATCATCATTCAAGTATCTAGTTTAAAAAATGTGTCCGGTGACCCGGCCAACCAACCAAGATGGCCGCCATGGCTAAAAATAGAACATAGTGGTAAAATGTAGATTTTGGCTTATATCTCTGAAACCAAAGCATTTAGAGCAAATCTGACATGGAGTAAAATTGTTTATCAGGTCAAGATCTATCTGCCCTGAAATTTTCAGATGAATCGGACAACCCGTTGTTGGGTTGCTGCCCCTGAATTGGTAATTTTAAGGAAATTTTGCCGTTTTTGGTTATTATCTTGAATATTATTATAGATAGAGATAAACTGTAAACAGCAATAATGTTCAGCAAAGTAAGATCTACAAATAAGTCAACTTGACCAAAATGGTCAGTTGACCCCTTAAGGAGTTATTGCCCTTTATAGTCAATTTTTAACCATTTTTCGTAAATTTTTGTAATCTTTTACAAAAATCTTCTCCTCTGAAACTACTAAGACAAATTTAACCAAACTTGTCCACAATCATCAATAGGGTATCTAGTTTAAAAAATGTGTCCGATGACCCCGCCTGCAAACCAAGATGGCCGACATGGCTAAAAAATAGTACATAGGGTAAAAAGCAGTTTTTGGCTAATATCTCTGAAACCAGAGCATTGAGAGCAAATCTGACAAGGATAAAATTGTTCATTAGGTCAAGATCTATCTGCCCTGAAATTTTCAGACCAATCAGGCAACACGTTGTTGGGTTGCTGCCCTTGAATTGGTAAGTTTAAGAAAATTTTGCAGCTTTTGGTTATTATCTTGAATATTATTATAGATAGAGATAAACTGTAAACAACAATAATGTACAGCAAAGTAAGATCTACAAATAAGTCAACATAACCAAAATTGTCAATTGACCCCTTAAGGAGTTATTGCCCTTTATAGTCAATTTTTTACAATTTTCATAAATTTTGTAAATTTTTGTAAATTTTTGCAAAATATTTTCCACTGTAACTACTGGGCCAAGTTCATTATAGATAGAGATAATAGTAAGGAGCAAGAATGTTCAGTAAAGTAAGATCTACAAACACATCACCATCACCAAAACACAATTTTGTCATGAATCCATCTGTGTCCTTTGTTTAATATGCACATAGACCAAGGTGAGCGACACAGGCTCTTTAGAGCCTCTAGTTAGATATTACTGTTAAATGATGCTGATTAAGGGTTGTTAGCTATGTTTAGCCATGACTATGATGTCATTTTCTATTTTAATATCTTTATGATGTATTTAAATGGGCTTTTATGGTTACAAAGGAATTTTATTTTTAGATATTACTTTAAATGTTGCTGATTAAGGATTTTTGTTTATTTTTAGCCATGACTATGATGTCACTTTCTATTTTAATACCTTTATGATGTATTTAAATGGGCTCCCATGTATTTAGATTTTTGATTATTTATACATGTTACCAAATTGGTCCACATTGAACAAAAACGGTCCAAATTTCAACTTTATTACATTACATCAAACATTGAATTCTACATATTCTTTGATATATTGAAATTAACAAACAATTTAGTTTATGGATATTCCACCATAATAGGTAAATTAATTTTTTTCCAGTTCTTACACCACATTCATCCTGTGTCAGAAACCTATGTTGTGTCAAATATTTAATGACAATCCAAAGTCATAGCTGTATCAAGCTTGAATTTTGTGTCCATACTTGCCCCAACTGTTCAGGGTTCGACCTCTGCGGTCGTATCAAGCTGCGCCCCAGCGAAGCATTTTATTCTAATTTCAGAACAATAACTTGTGTGTAAGTGTATGGATCTTTATGAAATTGTACTGCAAGGTTCCATATCACAAAGGGAAAGCTGGATTTGAGTTTGGGGGTAATTGCCCTAAACGTTTAGGAATTTGGGGTAAAAAAACAAGCATTTTTCTAGTTTCCAGACAATAACTTGTGTTCAAGTGTATTGATCTCTCTGAAATTGTACTGCAAGGTACCATACCACAAAGGGAAAGCTTGGATTGAGTTTGGGGGTGATGAATCATAAGGGGGTTCAAAAAATTTTGGGGTTTTTTTTTTTTTCCTTTTTTTTCTTTAAAATTTTCCATTTTAAATTGGTTATTTCTGATTTATATATAAAACCAAATAATACTGATATGGTTTGAATAGGTAAATTAAAAATGTTTAAGTTCTTAGACCACTTTCATTCTGTGTGAGAAAGCTATGCTGTGTCAAATATTTTATTACAATCCAAATTCAGTGCTGTATCAAGCTTGAATGTTGTGTCCATACTTGCCCCAACTGTTCAGGGTTCGACCTCTGCTGTCTTATCAAGCTGCGCCCCAGCGGAGCATTTTATTGTAACTTCCAGACATAACTTGTGTGAGTGTATGGATCTCTCTGACATTGTACCACAAGGTTCCATATCACAAAGGGAATGCTGGGATCGATTTTGGGGGTAATTGCCTCAAAATTTTAGGAATTAGGGGCCAAAAAAGGGGCAAAAAACAAGCATTTTTCTAGTTTCATGACAATAACTTGTGTGTAAGTGTATGGATCTTTCTGAAATTGTACTACAAGGTTCCATATCACAAAGGGAAAGCTGGAATTGAGTTTGGGGGTAATTGTCCAAAACATATAGGAATAAGGGGCCAAAAATAAGCATTTTTCTAGTTTCCAGACAATTACTTGTGTTCAAGTGTATGGATCTCTCTGAAATTGTACTGCAAGGTACCATACCACAAAGGGAAGGCTGGGATTGATTTTGGGGGTAATTGCCTCAAAATTTAGGAATTAGGGGATAAAAAGGGGCAAAAAACAAGCATTTTTATACGACTGCAAAAAAATTTTGAGGTCGTATATTGGTATGACGTTGGCGTCGTCGTCGTCGTCGTCGTCGGCGTCGTCGTCCGAATACACAATGGTTTTCGCACTCTAACTTTAGTTTAAGTGAATGGATCTCTATGAAATTTTACCATAAGGTTCAATACTACAATAGGAAGGTGGGGATTGATTTTGGGGGTTATGGTACCAACAGTTAAGGAATTAGGGGCCAAAAAGGGGCCGAAAATAAGCATTTTTGTAACTTCCAGACATAACTTGTGTGTTAGCATATGGATCTCTTTGACATTGTACCACAAGATTCCATATCACAAAGGGTCAATGCTGGGATTGATTTTGGGGTTAATTGCCTCAAAATTTTAGGAATAAGGGGCCAAAAGGGGGCAAAAATCAAGCATTTTTCTAGTTTCATGACAATAACTTGTGTGTAAGTGTATGGATCTTTCTGAAATTTTACTACAAGGTTCCATTTCACAAAGGGAAAGCTGGAATTGAGTGTTGTGGTAATTGCCCAAAACGTTTAGTAATAAGGGGCCTAAAAAGGGGTTTAAAATAAGCATTTTTTAGTTTCTAGACAATAACTTGTGTTCAAGTGTATGGATCTCTCTAAAATTGTATTACAAGGTACCATACCACAAAGGCAAGGCTGTTATTGAGCTTGGTTTGGGGGGAAAGGGGGGTGGGGGTGATGAATCATAAGGGGGGCGGGGGTCAAAAAAGGGGTAATTTTTTTTTTTCCTTTTTTTTTTGTTTAAAATTTACATTTTAAGTTAGTTATTTTTTATCACGAAGAGAAAGTAGGAATTGAGTTTTGGGGTTAATTGCTCAAACATTTATGAATAAAGGGCCAAATATTGGTCAAAAATAAGGATTTTTTTAGTTTGCAACAAAAACTTGTGTTCAAGTGTATGGATCTCTGTGAAATTGTATTGCAATGTACCATTCCACAAATTGAAGGTTGTGATTGAGGTGGGGGATGATGAATCAAAAGGGGGTGGAAAAAATGTGTGGGAGGTAGGATTTTTTTTTTTCCTTTTTTTTTCTTTAAAATTTTCCATTTAAAGATGGTTGTTTCAGATTTATATATGAAAGAAAATAATAATGATACGGTTATATATCATGAGGAATTGAAATTTAAAATTATGTATATTGGAAATTTAAGTTACATTGGAAAGTAATAATTGGCTTTGGGGGGGGGGGGGGGGGGGGGAGGGGGTGGTTATGGCTCTAATGTTTAAGGAATAAGGGGCAAAAAGGTTAAAAAACAAGGGTTTCCATTTTAATAGACAAATAATTGAGTAAAGAACATTATTTAAAAGCAGTGTAAGGTTGGTAATTCAAACTCATTTAAATATCTCATCTACACTGCTTTTAAATTATGTAAATTGGAAATTTGCCAATAACTTTATTGTTAATAAATGCATTGGATATTTGCCAACAATTTTAGTGTAATAAACTTCATTGGAAATTTGCCAATATAAAATTTTGCTGATGAAGGTTTTTTGTTTACCTTTAGCCTTGACTATGAAGTCATTTTCTATTTTTATAGCCTTATGATGTAGTTGAATTATTTAATACTTTTATGATGTGTTTAAATGGGGTTTTATCATGTTTATGGTTGCAAATTTATTGTTTTAGTATAATAAACTCCATTTAAAATTTGCCAATAAAAAAACTTTTTGTTTATTTTTAGCTATGATTATGATGTCATTTTCTATTTTACTTTTATGGTTGCAAAGAAATTTTTATTTTTAGATATTACTGTTAAATGATGCTGATTAAGGTTTTTGCTATGTTTAGCCATGACTATGATGTCATTTTTTATTTTAATATCTGTTATGATGTATTTAAATGGGCTTTTATGGTTACAAAGGAATTTTATTTTTAGATATTACTATAAAATGTTGCTGATGCTGATTAAGGATTTTGTTTATTTTTAGCCATGACTATGATGTCATTTTCTATTTTAATACCTTTATGATGTAATTTCCATTTTTAGCTCACCTGACCTGAAAGGTCAAGTGAGCTTTTCTCATCACTTTGCGTCCGTCGTCCGTCGTCCTGCGTCCGTCGTCCGTAAACTTTTACAAAAATCTTCTCCTCTGAAACTACTGGGCCAAATGCACCCAAACTTAAACACAATCATCATTCAAGTATCTAGTTTAAAAAATGTGTCCGGTGACCCGGCCAACCAACCAAGATGGCCGCCATGGCTAAAAATAGAACATAGTGGTAAAATGTAGATTTTGGCTTATATCTCTGAAACCAAAGCATTTAGAGCAAATCTGACATGGAGTAAAATTGTTTATCAGGTCAAGATCTATCTGCCCTGAAATTTTCAGATGAATCGGACAACCCGTTGTTGGGTTGCTGCCCCTGAATTGGTAATTTTAAGGAAATTTTGCCGTTTTTGGTTATTATCTTGAATATTATTATAGATAGAGATAAACTGTAAACAGCAATAATGTTCAGCAAAGTAAGATCTACAAATAAGTCAACTTGACCAAAATGGTCAGTTGACCCCTTAAGGAGTTATTGCCCTTTATAGTCAATTTTTAACCATTTTTCGTAAATTTTTGTAATCTTTTACAAAAATCTTCTCCTCTGAAACTACTAAGACAAATTTAACCAAACTTGTCCACAATCATCAATAGGGTATCTAGTTTAAAAAATGTGTCCGATGACCCCGCCTGCAAACCAAGATGGCCGACATGGCTAAAAAATAGTACATAGGGTAAAAAGCAGTTTTTGGCTAATATCTCTGAAACCAGAGCATTGAGAGCAAATCTGACAAGGATAAAATTGTTCATTAGGTCAAGATTTATCTGCCCTGAAATTTTCAGACCAATCAGGCAACACGTTGTTGGGTTGCTGCCCTTGAATTGGTAAGTTTAAGAAAATTTTGCAGCTTTTGGTTATTATCTTGAATATTATTATAGATAGAGATAAACTGTAAACAACAATAATGTACAGCAAAGTAAGATCTACAAATAAGTCAACATAACCAAAATTGTCAATTGACCCCTTAAGGAGTTATTGCCCTTTATAGTCAATTTTTTACAATTTTCATAAATTTTGTAAATTTTTGTAAATTTTTGCAAAATATTTTCCACTGTAACTACTGGGCCAAGTTCATTATAGATAGAGATAATAGTAAGGAGCAAGAATGTTCAGTAAAGTAAGATCTACAAACACATCACCATCACCAAAACACAATTTTGTCATGAATCCATCTGTGTCCTTTGTTTAATATGCACATAGACCAAGGTGAGCGACACAGGCTCTTTAGAGCCTCTAGTTAGATATTACTGTTAAATGATGCTGATTAAGGGTTGTTAGCTATGTTTAGCCATGACTATGATGTCATTTTCTATTTTAATATCTTTATGATGTATTTAAATGGGCTTTTATGGTTACAAAGGAATTTTATTTTTAGATATTACTTTAAATGTTGCTGATTAAGGATTTTTGTTTATTTTTAGCCATGACTATGATGTCACTTTCTATTTTAATACCTTTATGATGTATTTAAATGGGCTCCCATGTATTTAGATTTTTGATTATTTATACATGTTACCAAATTGGTCCACATTGAACAAAAACGGTCCAAATTTCAACTTTATTACATTACATCAAACATTGAATTCTACATATTCTTTGATATATTGAAATTAACAAACAATTTAGTTTATGGATATTCCACCATAATAGGTAAATTAATTTTTTTCCAGTTCTTACACCACATTCATCCTGTGTCAGAAACCTATGTTGTGTCAAATATTTAATGACAATCCAAAGTCATAGCTGTATCAAGCTTGAATTTTGTGTCCATACTTGCCCCAACTGTTCAGGGTTCGACCTCTGCGGTCGTATCAAGCTGCGCCCCAGCGAAGCATTTTATTCTAATTTCAGAACAATAACTTGTGTGTAAGTGTATGGATCTTTATGAAATTGTACTGCAAGGTTCCATATCACAAAGGGAAAGCTGGATTTGAGTTTGGGGGTAATTGCCCTAAACGTTTAGGAATTTGGGGTAAAAAAACAAGCATTTTTCTAGTTTCCAGACAATAACTTGTGTTCAAGTGTATTGATCTCTCTGAAATTGTACTGCAAGGTACCATACCACAAAGGGAAAGCTTGGATTGAGTTTGGGGGTGATGAATCATAAGGGGGTTCAAAAAATTTTGGGGGTTTTTTTTTTTTCCTTTTTTTTCTTTAAAATTTTCCATTTTAAATTGGTTATTTCTGATTTATATATAAAACCAAATAATACTGATATGGTTTGAATAGGTAAATTAAAAATGTTTAAGTTCTTAGACCACTTTCATTCTGTGTGAGAAAGCTATGCTGTGTCAAATATTTTATTACAATCCAAATTCAGTGCTGTATCAAGCTTGAATGTTGTGTCCATACTTGCCCCAACTGTTCAGGGTTCGACCTCTGCGGTCTTATCAAGCTGCGCCCCAGCGGAGCATTTTATTGTAACTTCCAGACATAACTTGTGTGAGTGTATGGATCTCTCTGACATTGTACCACAAGGTTCCATATCACAAAGGGAATGCTGGGATCGATTTTGGGGGTAATTGCCTCAAAATTTTAGGAATTAGGGGCCAAAAAAGGGGCAAAAAACAAGCATTTTTCTAGTTTCATGACAATAACTTGTGTGTAAGTGTATGGATCTTTCTGAAATTGTACTACAAGGTTCCATATCACAAAGGGAAAGCTGGAATTGAGTTTGGGGGTAATTGTCCAAAACATATAGGAATAAGGGGCCAAAAATAAGCATTTTTCTAGTTTCCAGACAATTACTTGTGTTCAAGTGTATGGATCTCTCTGAAATTGTACTGCAAGGTACCATACCACAAAGGGAAGGCTGGGATTGATTTTGGGGGTAATTGCCTCAAAATTTAGGAATTAGGGGATAAAAAGGGGCAAAAAACAAGCATTTTTATACGACTGCAAAAAAATTTTGAGGTCGTATATTGGTATGACGTTGGCGTCGTCGTCGTCGTCGTCGTCGGCGTCGTCGTCCGAATACACAATGGTTTTCGCACTCTAACTTTAGTTTAAGTGAATGGATCTCTATGAAATTTTACCATAAGGTTCAATACTACAATAGGAAGGTGGGGATTGATTTTGGGGGTTATGGTACCAACAGTTAAGGAATTAGGGGCCAAAAAGGGGCCGAAAATAAGCATTTTTGTAACTTCCAGACATAACTTGTGTGTTAGCATATGGATCTCTTTGACATTGTACCACAAGATTCCATATCACAAAGGGTCAATGCTGGGATTGATTTTGGGGTTAATTGCCTCAAAATTTTAGGAATAAGGGGCCAAAAGGGGGCAAAAATCAAGCATTTTTCTAGTTTCATGACAATAACTTGTGTGTAAGTGTATGGATCTTTCTGAAATTTTACTACAAGGTTCCATTTCACAAAGGGAAAGCTGGAATTGAGTGTTGTGGTAATTGCCCAAAACGTTTAGTAATAAGGGGCCTAAAAAGGGGTTTAAAATAAGCATTTTTTAGTTTCTAGACAATAACTTGTGTTCAAGTGTATGGATCTCTCTAAAATTGTATTACAAGGTACCATACCACAAAGGCAAGGCTGTTATTGAGCTTGGTTTGGGGGGAAAGGGGGGTGGGGGTGATGAATCATAAGGGGGGCGGGGGTCAAAAAAGGGGTAATTTTTTTTTTTCCTTTTTTTTTTGTTTAAAATTTACATTTTAAGTTAGTTATTTTTTATCACGAAGAGAAAGTAGGAATTGAGTTTTGGGGTTAATTGCTCAAACATTTATGAATAAAGGGCCAAATATTGGTCAAAAATAAGGATTTTTTTAGTTTGCAACAAAAACTTGTGTTCAAGTGTATGGATCTCTGTGAAATTGTATTGCAATGTACCATTCCACAAATTGAAGGTTGTGATTGAGGTGGGGGATGATGAATCAAAAGGGGGTGGAAAAAATGTGTGGGAGGTAGGATTTTTTTTTTTCATTTTTTTTTCTTTAAAATTTTCCATTTAAAGATGGTTGTTTCAGATTTATATATGAAAGAAAATAATAATGATACGGTTATATATCATGAGGAATTGAAATTTAAAATTATGTATATTGGAAATTTAAGTTACATTGGAAAGTAATAATTGGCTTTGGGGGGGGGGGGGGGAGGGGGTGGTTATGGCTCTAATGTTTAAGGAATAAGGGGCAAAAAGGTTAAAAAACAAGGGTTTCCATTTTAATAGACAAATAATTGAGTAAAGAACATTATTTAAAAGCAGTGTAAGGTTGGTAATTCAAACTCATTTAAATATCTCATCTACACTGCTTTTAAATTATGTAAATTGGAAATTTGCCAATAACTTTATTGTTAATAAATGCATTGGATATTTGCCAACAATTTTAGTGTAATAAACTTCATTGGAAATTTGCCAATATTTACCTTTAGCCTTGACTATGAAGTCATTTTCTATTTTTATAGCCTTATGATGTAGTTGAATTATTTAATACTTTTATGATGTGTTTAAATGGGGTTTTATCATGTTTATGGTTGCAAATTTATTGTTTTAGTATAATAAACTCCATTTAAAATTTGCCAATAAAAAAACTTTTTGTTTATTTTTAGCTATGATTATGATGTCATTTTCTATTTTACTTTTATGGTTGCAAAGAAATTTTTATTTTTAGATATTACTGTTAAATGATGCTGATTAAGGTTTTTGCTATGTTTAGCCATGACTATGATGTCATTTTTTATTTTGATATCTGTTATGATGTATTTAAATGGGCTTTTATGGTTACAAAGGAATTTTATTTTTAGATATTACTATAAAATGTTGCTGATGCTGATTAAGGATTTTGTTTATTTTTAGCCATGACTATGATGTCATTTTCTATTTTAATACCTTTATGATGTAATTTCCATTTTTAGCTCACCTGACCTGAAAGGTCAAGTGAGCTTTTCTCATCACTTTGCGTCCGTCGTCCGTCGTCCTGCGTCCGTCGTCCGTAAACTTTTACAAAAATCTTCTCCTCTGAAACTACTGGGCCAAATGCACCCAAACTTAAACACAATCATCATTCAAGTATCTAGTTTAAAAAATGTGTCCGGTGACCCGGCCAACCAACCAAGATGGCCGCCATGGCTAAAAATAGAACATAGTGGTAAAATGTAGATTTTGGCTTATATCTCTGAAACCAAAGCATTTAGAGCAAATCTGACATGGAGTAAAATTGTTTATCAGGTCAAGATCTATCTGCCCTGAAATTTTCAGATGAATCGGACAACCCGTTGTTGGGTTGCTGCCCCTGAATTGGTAATTTTAAGGAAATTTTGCCGTTTTTGGTTATTATCTTGAATATTATTATAGATAGAGATAAACTGTAAACAGCAATAATGTTCAGCAAAGTAAGATCTACAAATAAGTCAACTTGACCAAAATGGTCAGTTGACCCCTTAAGGAGTTATTGCCCTTTATAGTCAATTTTTAACCATTTTTCGTAAATTTTTGTAATCTTTTACAAAAATCTTCTCCTCTGAAACTACTAAGACAAATTTAACCAAACTTGTCCACAATCATCAATAGGGTATCTAGTTTAAAAAATGTGTCCGATGACCCCGCCTGCAAACCAAGATGGCCGACATGGCTAAAAAATAGTACATAGGGTAAAAAGCAGTTTTTGGCTAATATCTCTGAAACCAGAGCATTGAGAGCAAATCTGACAAGGATAAAATTGTTCATTAGGTCAAGATCTATCTGCCCTGAAATTTTCAGACCAATCAGGCAACACGTTGTTGGGTTGCTGCCCTTGAATTGGTAAGTTTAAGAAAATTTTGCAGCTTTTGGTTATTATCTTGAATATTATTATAGATAGAGATAAACTGTAAACAACAATAATGTACAGCAAAGTAAGATCTACAAATAAGTCAACATAACCAAAATTGTCAATTGACCCCTTAAGGAGTTATTGCCCTTTATAGTCAATTTTTTACAATTTTCATAAATTTTGTAAATTTTTGTAAATTTTTGCAAAATATTTTCCACTGTAACTACTGGGCCAAGTTCATTATAGATAGAGATAATAGTAAGGAGCAAGAATGTTCAGTAAAGTAAGATCTACAAACACATCACCATCACCAAAACACAATTTTGTCATGAATCCATCTGTGTCCTTTGTTTAATATGCACATAGACCAAGGTGAGCGACACAGGCTCTTTAGAGCCTCTAGTTAGATATTACTGTTAAATGATGCTGATTAAGGGTTGTTAGCTATGTTTAGCCATGACTATGATGTCATTTTCTATTTTAATATCTTTATGATGTATTTAAATGGGCTTTTATGGTTACAAAGGAATTTTATTTTTAGATATTACTTTAAATGTTGCTGATTAAGGATTTTTGTTTATTTTTAGCCATGACTATGATGTCACTTTCTATTTTAATACCTTTATGATGTATTTAAATGGGCTCCCATGTATTTAGATTTTTGATTATTTATACATGTTACCAAATTGGTCCACATTGAACAAAAACGGTCCAAATTTCAACTTTATTACATTACATCAAACATTGAATTCTACATATTCTTTGGTATATTGAAATTAACAAACAATTTAGTTTATGGATATTCCACCATAATAGGTAAATTAATTTTTTTCCAGTTCTTACACCACATTCATCCTGTGTCAGAAACCTATGTTGTGTCAAATATTTAATGACAATCCAAAGTCATAGCTGTATCAAGCTTGAATTTTGTGTCCATACTTGCCCCAACTGTTCAGGGTTCGACCTCTGCGGTCGTATCAAGCTGCGCCCCAGCGAAGCATTTTATTCTAATTTCAGAACAATAACTTGTGTGTAAGTGTATGGATCTTTATGAAATTGTACTACAAGGTTCAATATCACAAAGGGAAAGCTGGAATTGAGTTTGGGGGTAATTGCCACTAATGTTTAGGAATTTGGGGCCAAAAAAGAGCCTTAAAACAAGCATTTTTCTAGTTTCCAGACAATAACTTGTGTTCAAGTGTATGGATCTCTCTGAAATTGTACTGCAAGGTACCATACCACAAAGGGAAGGCTGGGATTGAGTTTGGGGGTGATGAATCATAAGGGGGTTCAAAAAATTTGGGGGAGGGATTTTTTTTTCCTTTTTTTCCTTTTTTTTACTTTTAAATTTTCCATTTTAAATTGGTTATTTCTGCTTTATATATAAAAGCAAATAATAATGATATGGTTTGAATAGGTAAATTAAAAATTTTTAAGTTCTTAAGACCACATTCATTCTGTGTCAGAAACCTATGCTGTGTCAAATATTTAATCACAATCCAAATTCAGTGCTGTATCAAGCTTGAATGTTGTGTCCATACTTGCCCCAACTGTTCAGGGTTCGACCTCTGCGGTCGTATCAAGCTGCGCCCAGCGGAGCATTTTATTTTTCCTGATAAGAAGATTTAAAGTCCTAGTTTAAACCTGTCTTTTGGTAACCCCTCATATGTTTAATTCAACAACATTTTCAAATGGATCTCCTTTAAAAAAAATAATATATACAAGATTGCACACGTTGAAATGTCTCGCCTGCTTTACCTATCCTGATTGAATGTACTAGTATGTTGAAAATCTGTAATATGAAGGTTTTACTACAAGTATCAAACTAACTTAACATTATCAATGATCCATGTAAATGAGGTAAATGTCAGATGAACCCTGCAAGACAGACATGTATACCTTACAATCATGCTATACACCAAATATAGTTAGCCTATTGCTAATAGTATCTGAGAAACAGACCTAATTACGAAAATTGAACATTAACCAATTAAACATGAAAAAGAGGTGAAGGTCAGATGAACCCTGCCAGACAATATGTACACCATGCAATCATTCCATACACCAAATATAGTTGACCTATTGCTGAGAAACAGACTTAACCATGAAAATTTGACGTTGACTAATAAACCATGGAAATACATGTAAGGTCAAGTTCAGTTGAACTCTGCCAGACAGATATGTACACCTTACAATCATTCTTTACACCAAATATAGTGGCCCCATTGCTACAGTATCTGTTTGAATAGACAAAACCACAAAAAACTTAACATTGACCAATGAACCATGAAAATGAGGTCAAGGTCAGATGAAACCTGCCAGTCTGACGTGTACACCTTACAATCATTCCATACACCAAATATAGTTGACCTATTGCTTATAGTATCTGAGATACAGACTTGACCTTTATCACTCATCTATGAAATGAGGTCGTGGTCAGGTGAACGCTGTCCAACAGACATGTAGACCTTGCAGGGATCCCATATACCATATACAGTTATCCTATTACTCATTAGTGTTTGGTTCCATCAAGACAAGTTCACTTATGATTTTGAATTTTTTTTTCTGCAGCTTAGGACTTGTTGGTTGTTGTAAATTTGATAATAACAAGCATAACTAATTAACAAATCCGGTTTTTTTGTCAAGCCTGCAACTTCTGAGACATAGGGATAGTTACCCAGTGGCAGCTTTAAATAACTACTTAAAAGCTTTATATTTCAGAAGGTAGAAGAACTAGATGATCATACTTTGTATATAGATGCCTTATGTTATGAAGTTTCTATCTGTCATATGTCCATTGTCCTTGACCTCATTCTCATGGTTCAGAGACTACTTAAAAAAAAGGTTATGATTTTTTGTAATGTTAATTTCTCTTATTATGAGTAATAGGATAACTATATTTAGTATGTGCGTACCTTGCAAGGTCCTCATGGCTGTCAGACAGTTTTCACATGACCTTGACCTTATTTCATGGATCAGTGAACAAGGTTAAGTTTCATGGTCAAGTCCATATCTCAGATACTATAAGCAATAGTCTACTAAATTTGGTGTATGGAATGATTGTAAAGTGTACCGTACATGTCCAACTGGCAGGTGTCATCTGACCTTGACCTCATTTTCATGGTTCAGTGGTTAAAAGTTAAGTTTTTTTGTTTTTGTCTTTTTTCCTAATACTATATGCCATAAGTCAACTATATTTGGTGTATGGAAATATTTTACGATGAACATGTCAGTCTGGTAGGTTTTATTTGACCTTGACCTCATTTTCATGGTTCATTGCTCAATGTTAAGTTTTTTGTGTTTTAGTCTCTTTTTCTTAACCTATAAGCAATAGGTCAACTATATTTGGTGTATGGAATGATTGTAAGGTGTACATGTTTAACTGGCAGGTGTCATTTGACCTGACCTCATTTTCATGGTACAGAGGTCAATGTTAAGTTTTCCTGGTTAAGTTTGTTTCTTAGATACTATAAGCAATAGGTCAACTATATTTAATGCATAGATAGATTTTAAGGGGTACATGTCTGTCTGGTAGGGTTTATCTGACCTTGACCTCATTTTCATGGTTCATTGGTCAATGTTAAGTTTTCCTGGTAAAGCAATAGGTCAACTATATTTGGTGTATGAAATGATTGTAAGGTGTACATGTATTTCTGGTTTGGTTTATCTGACCTTGACCTCATTTTCTTGGATCATGTTTATGTGATACTCGTAGTAAAGCTTTATATTTAGGACTATCAACATAAAATCATTGGTCAGTAAAGCAGGCGAGATATTTCAGCATGTGCACTCTTGTTTTCTGTAAGATTACTTATAATTTTCCACATAATGTTAAGATTCATTTAAACAAGAGTTAGGTTTTTTCCACCTCATCCAATGAAATTTTAAAACAATCTTACATCGAATTAAAGCTCCCTCTATCCCTTTCAATTTTTGTGTGTTTATGTATTATGCTGCCTCTATCATTATCACTCTATGGTAGACAGTGGACCCCGTTAATAAACATATTGTCTGCTAGTTCTTCATAAAGGCTCTTGTGAGTGTGTTGGTTATTTTTAGCATTTCTTGATCAATACAAGTTCATTTTACATATTGTATAGCAACATTCCACTTGCGTCCAAAAATTTGAGTTTCAGACTTTATCTATTTAACTCTCTATTGGTATGTGTTTATTTTGGAAATCAAGTAGTTCATTAAGTCATTGTGATTCCCTCTGAGGTCAATACTTTTTTCACATGTCCCACAGTAACTTGATTGGTGATTGTAAAGTCAGTGAGAAATATTTCATGCACAAGAACAAATAATATAATAGGTAGGCTCTGCAAGGTAGGTCATCCAGAATGAGGAGAAATTTAGACTACCACTGAAAACTGACAGTATGTTTGATATGGGCCAGGGTTCTTTAATGTGCAGAGAGTGTAGCACACTAGCTACACAAGGCTTCTGCATCACCATTCTGACTGAATGCCTTACTTTAGCAAGGGTTTTACTGCTGGAATGAGTGATGACCATATTTCTACCCCAGTCAACCCTTTGGGTGTGAGCTTGCTTGGATCAATTTATTTCAAACTGAATTTAGTAGTTGGTATTGGTCAAGTAAACCGTTTTCAGATTTTGACAATTTTCAATTTGTTTTTCTACAACTATGGGACTTTAACCATTAGACATTTTTTATACACATAAGGATACCCTTCCATATTTAAGCAATCCTGTTTTATTGACTTGATTGAATGTCTTCTACAATATTGAAACAAAAATTTCAATAAGCACAGATTTTAAGATAATTTTTTTTTAAAACTAAACAACATTATTACTTCCAATTCTGGACAGTAAGTCTTTTAAGTATTAGACCTTGCAATATCTTGTCAAATGACAAACATGTACATGTATTCAGATTCTAATACAATAACATTCCTTTAATCAATGATTTATTGCAAGTACTTAAAAACATGCCTAATCCACCATATGAACGTTGGGAGTATTTTTGTATAAATAATATTTGAATATAATAAATATGAAAATTCTAAAAAAAATCACAGAGACATAACTAAGAGGAAGAGTGTTAATTTAAGAATGAAACTGAAATAAAGGGATTGCAATGTAACAAGAAATCAACTATCGATTGGTCTATTATGAGAACTTCTATGCATACATATCAGATCAGAAGCCTAAACATTTCAGAACATTGAAAAAATTCAAAAGATACTGAGTACTTGAGATAAGCATTATTTAGTGGTTGGTGCTGACATATTCTACTTGAAACTGAAATAAATGGACGCTAATGTAACCAAATATAAATGATTTACCCGGTAGTATGATTAAAGTGGGGAGCTTCATAATCTTTTAAATCCTATATTTGTTTGACTGTATTTATTAATGTAAACCTACCTATTGGCAAGGTAGAAAAATATGAATGCTGCTTTTCTATTAGGTGAAGATTTACAACCAAGAAAGAACATTAAAAGCATAAACAATTCTCATGTCCATGTGGAGAAAAATGTTTAACACAGCTTGGTAACAGAAAATATTTATTATAACAAATTCAACAGTGTTCCATATTCACAAAAAAAGTTTATTACATTTCCCAGATCCAGTCTGTATATATAATACACATTAAATAAGACCCTCAACAGAATCAGTTGTGAGAGGGAAACAGCAATTTTCAATTGTATAATATGTGCCCAATCCATTTTTCTCAGACAATTAAATATGTTAAAACTTATCTCTTCCAATTCATTCCTTAATATTTTCATGCTCACACTGGATTTCAATTAATACTAGGAAATATATGGAAATAAATACAGTACACAGTTGTGAAGTTTAGTTTGAATCATTGGGTAGATATTTTCATTGATTTCTTCTCATATTGGAAATACACAATTTATTACAACAGGAAATTCTAACATGTTTGTTACAGACAAAGTCTGAAATCACAAAAAAATAACAACAAAAAACAAACAATTATAAATATATTCCCCTGAAACCACAAAATTAGGATTCCATCCTAAAAAATACTTGGGTGTAATACATTTGTATATGTAGGACTTGTAGGTGTGATGGGGATGCTGAAGCGCGATGGTCATGATGAAGCGAGATGTTCTTCCATTTTAACTTATAACATGGACGAAGTGTTTGAGATAGTTATCTGAGATGGAACCATCATGATAGAGCGAATATAAAAAGATATATCTTGTGTCAAGACAAAGAATTTCATATTTCCTCCAGTTGCAGTAACAAAATACTAAGTTTTCTCTTATTCTGTGCTCTCATTCACATCAGCCAAATATATTTGCTGCTTATTTTATGTCGTTGTGACTAAGCAAGTAGTATTTGAATTTCTTATAGCTGCCTAGTTTTTCAGTATTTAAAATTAGTACTGGTTTGAATGGACAATAAACCTTGCATACAGTGTCTATAATGGTCAATTTCTTAAGGCTTGTATGAACGTTGGAAGTATTTTTGTCGAAGCAAATTTACAAAGTAAACAACAACGTTTCAGTTAAGATACGAAATGTAATGACTATTTATCATGATACTCTCTGTGATTTACTAAAAAACCTGAAAAGCTGCTTCTAACAAACACATCGACATTGAAACATGAGGAACATTGAAAATACAATGTATGTAATCCATCGCACTTCAGCGTAAACACCAACTCACTTCAGCATGATCAAAAACTTTTTATCATAAAAATCAAAAATACACCTGTATGTACACATCACAATAACTTAATATAAAAAATTACAATCAATAGAGTTTTTTTTTTTAACCTGTCAGAAGGAAACAAATCATTTTTATCTTTCGCTCCATTCATGTTATATTTGACTTTAGATTACAACCATGAAGTTCAATTAGTAAAAATACGAAAAAATTATAGATGACATATAAAGGTGAAACATATTTTAGCTGACAATGTATTCTGATTGATAATTCTATAAAGTACAAAATAAATATCAGTTTGTTTTCTTTGTTCCCCCATCTCCTGCTGTTACTTCACTCTTACTGGCTGTAGAATTCTAAAAAAAAAGATATAAAATTAAACAATATATATATATATATATATATATATATATATAATTTTGTCAATGAAATCAATATATATTTTTGCAAATTTTTTCCAATGTGGCCTTCCCATTTAAGAAAAAACTTCATTAAATGGGAGGTAACTCTTTGAAATGAAATATGATTTATAATTTATCATTTTTTAAAGGAGACACTGAGATCTACGAAACATGTAGGCAATTTTGGCTACATAACATTATGCAAGATGACAAAACATTCCATTGCACAAAAAAGTCTTTGTTTTATTTACTGGTTGATCTGAAAAAGTAGTTAATTTTTTTTTGAAACAGAATCAAAATTAAAAAGCTTCTCAAAATCTGATATAAAAAAAAACCCTTTTTTGCAGAAATGGAAACCATATACATTAATATTGAATACAGACTGTATGTTTACCCCTGGATGTGTTTTGTTTCATTGTTTTGTTGGATTGCTGTCTCATTTATGTATGTCCCACATCTCCTTTTATATATACTATACAGAAATCCTTAAAACACTGGCACAATATTTAAATCTACTAAAAATACCTCATTAATTTGTGTATCATCTGTCTTCTTCAGTGGACACTTCCCTTTTGATTCCTACAATATTTAAACCATGTCACATTTGTTAAGATGGTAAAATATTAAATAAGGTTCTTTAATTTGCCTTTAACACTTGTTTTCAATCTCAAAACAAAATTTAAAACTTTATAGTTGATGCTTGAAACTAAGTCAACCATTAATATTAATAATATATCATACAGTCTGTGTCAAACTGTTTTAGGGTTTGTCTGACCTAAAAAAGAAATTTGAACTTTTCTTCTTTATATTCAACTAAAAAATCTTAAAATTTCTGTCTAACCGAATGAATTTTTGTCAGACATTTTGTCGGTCAGACAGAGTTTGGGCTACACTGATCATGTATATGTTTGTCTTTTCATTTGGTCAGTGTTGTCTTTTAAACTGGTTCGAGTTGTCTATAAAATAGGTCTGAGTTGTCTTATTATTGGTCAAGTTGACTTTGTCAGACTTGTCTTTGGTCCAAGTTGTCATGTTTTCTCAAAGAGTATTTCAACTTATATATATACTGATCATGCTGATGTATATCACATATTTTTTAGAGGATTATTTTGTAATGTTAATACTCAATCAGTCAGGGGTACTACTTGTACAAGTTATTTTTATTTATTTGAAGAAGTAAATATTAATATACCTATATAAGTATTTTATTTACTTATATAGGTAAATTATTTTAATGGCATAGTTACATGTATATATATGTCCCTTAGACATTCAGATTTTTTTACTTATGAAAGTAAAAAAGTCATACTATCTTCTTTTCTTGAATTTCTCAGGACTTCTTTGCTCTAATAGTTTTTTTAATTGTCTGTCCATTGCAGATGTCTTTACTAATCATTTTAAGTGTAATTTCATGGACAATGAAAATCTCCTTTTGTTTGTTATCTTCCAAACACTGCTCATTTACATTATAACAAGCCTCCAAGGGGCAATTTTTGAAGGCCTTGCACAATTACTTAAGATCTTTGCGCAATTAGTTTCTTTGCTGAATTAATGAGATGAAAAGTTGTAATCTAATAAAAAAAATATGAGCTAACCAGAGAAAAATTGTATAAGGCATGTTTTTATATCCCAAAACTTGAGAATTTTAGGGATTGTGAAAAAAATTACTTATACAAGTAATTTTTTTTAGAAAATTAAGGGGAGATTATTCAAACCTTATAAGAAAATATGAATATAACAAATTTACTTATATAAGTATATTTTTATTTACTTCTTCAATTATATAAAAATAACTTCTACAAGAAGTACCCCTGACTGTCAATGTAAACTACATGTACATGTACTTGATGGCCCCAGTTATATAACTAAGGATGAATTCATACATGTACATTACAAAACCCTCAATAACAGAAATAAACAATGAAAAGAAAAATCAATATACATGTACTAGTGAATCCAAAATTATTAAATTTTTTCATGTTTTTACTTTAGACATGTTAGAAATTGTGGATTACCATATTGACTGAGGCTGCCATGTTAATACAAATTAAATGATATCATATTCCACAAATTTATAATATCTTATAACCTAAAAGTATCAAGAAAAATACATGTACTAAACACAGGACTCGCATAATTTAAGATTCAAAATTGTTTTATAAATTTCATTATGAAAAATATAAGTTATGCTTTAATTATAAACAGACATCGTCCTCGTTTACAGATACATCTAAGATAACTATAACAAAGGTGTTATAGAATATAGTACAGAGTACATGAAACACGTGCCGGGATTTGGTATCGGATCGTATATAATTATTTATTTATTTATCCCTTATCAATATTTTTTAAATTGGGGCCTGATCGATATGAAAGCCCAGGATTTTATTATTATTTTATTACCTCTCCTTCATTTTTCGAATTTCCTGGTAGGTATTTTAGCATTGAAGGACAAACCTTCTCCATTAATGGTCTTAAATATCTGTGAAAGAACCATAAAAGGAAAGGTATAACTATACAAGGAACGCAAACCATTTTTATCTAGGGTGTGTTTTATTGGTCTCTTCTGCACATCTCCAGAATGTCTTCTGGTGAAGAGTCCAAAAAAATGAATCTGGACCTCTTCTGGAGATATTCTACGGAAGATCAATAAAACAAAAATTCAATTTGCCGTCGAATATAGCAGATTTTTGTTATGTTGGATGACATAAATGAAGTTTACGATGATTTTATAGAAAGTTAAGATACGTCCGGTAGACATGACTGCAAGTGTGTTCTGTTCGTGACATTTTTCTTTGTTCTTTCCTCTAAATCAACTTAGCTAGACAAATCTGGCTTAAACCCCCACTATTTGATTTTTAAGAATAATCTTAAACTGCACAAAATTCGTCAATGTTTGTCTCGAATATGATCAAAAAGGACATCTTGTCTATCCATTTTTTTTTAAAGTAACCAAACTGGATTATTTTTGTATAAAGCAAAGATATCGGAAAGTTCTCAAAATCATTATTCTCTGGTGGTCCTTGAAGAAAATCTTCTGGTCCTAACTATTATTTCTATTGCAAAATTTCGATGGTCAAAACCTTCGGACCACCACTTTTCAAAAATTTTCCTTGTATATGTATCAATATGCAAGTATACAATGTATACCAGACATTTCTCAGACAGTTTTTTTTTCTTTTTTTTTTAATGAATCCGTTGGTTGTGTACTGATTGATACTTCAGTCTGGGAGAACAAGATTTATTTTAGTACTAGTTGTTATTAGCTTTGAACAAACTTCCAGTAATTGCATACTCTTATTTCGGTGCTTTGTGTCTTTTGTCTTAATGTAACTTTTTTTTGTGTGTCTCGTACCGATCTTTTGAGTTAATCTAATTGCAATTGATTTGTGCAGGTTGTTCTTATATTGTACTGTTACACCACTGTCTCAGCTTCGGGAAGGATTAAGCGCTCACAAACATGTTCTTGTACTGTTACACCACTGTCCCAGGTTAGGGGGCGGGTTGGGCCGGATCCCGCTAACATGTTTAACCCCGCCACATTCTGTATGTATGTGCCTGTCCCAAGTCAGGAGCCTGTGATTTAGTGGTTGTCGTTTGTTGCTGTGTTACATACTTGTTTTTCGTTCATTTTTTTGTACATTAATTAGACCGTTAGTTTTCTCGTTTGAATTGTTTTACATTTGTGATTTCGGGGCCTTTTATAGACGACTTTGCGGTATGGGCTTTGCTTATTGTTGAAGGCCGTACGGTGACCTATAGCTATTAATTGCTGTGTCATTTGGTCTCTTGTGGAGGGTTGTCTCATTGGCAATCTTCGTTTTTATATCAACCCTGCCATATTCTTTGTGTGCCTGTCCCAAGTCAGGAGCCTATAGTTTAGTGGTTGTCGTTGGTTCATGCCTCGACTTTGATATTTTGTAAATTATTTTGTTATGTAAAATTAGGCCGTTAGTTTTTTCGTTTGAATTGTTTCTCACACTTTTCACGTCGGGCCTTTTATTGACGACTTTTAATACATTATCGGGTTTTGTCATTGTTGAAGGCCTTAATTACGGTTGCCTATAATTGCTTACATCCACTTCATATTTGAACTCCGGTGGATAGTTGCCTCATTAGCAATCATACATCTCTTCGTTTTTATATCATATGCCTGAATTTTAAACTCGTGTTTTCCTGAACCGAGTCCTGAACATGCATGACATTTTTGTCACTGGGCGTTAAAAATTAGCAACAAACAATCAATCAATTTAAACTTGTGTTAAATAAGAAGAAAAACCATTTGATATTTATTCATTTATTGGGGTGGGGGACAGGAGGATTTCATATATAATATAGTCGCCTGATAAGAGCTGAAAAATAGGCATAATTAGCGACAGATTAAAAAAGTTAATAATGCCCTCTTCCCTTCCCCATCCTTGATCTATAAATTTAAACTGACCACCACGGAATAGCCCAACTTAGTGTTGAAAGTAGCGTTAAACAATAATCAATCAAAATCCCTTCCCTAGAATATCAAATAGTCGTCCCTTAACTGTTATTGTCCGTGCGGTTCTTATATTTATCCAGCTTATCGTCCTACACGGATGTCCTACTAAGACTGTCATACCATAAAAACGTTTATAACACAGCTCACATTCTAATATATCTGCATTCATAAATTTATTAATGTCATTTAGACTAAACGACGCCATGTTTGTTATGTGCCTCTGCCGTCTAAACTACCTATCAAAAAAGAAGAGATGGAAGAGAGCCAGAAGATCTTCCCTATTCAAAAAAACAGAAATGGACCTCTTCTGGCTCACTACCGAAGAACAAAAAAACACGCCCCTATAGTACGATGTCACAGATTATAACCGGAAACGCAAACGCGATTTTAAACAAAAGAACAGGTTGACGGAATGAAACCTAAGGTGTGTTCGAAAAAAATACTTGGGAAATGACAACTATATATCTCAAGATGTATTATGAATAGGGCAATATTTATTAGAATAAACACATTTATAATAAATTGTTAAGGCCATGATTATAAAGTCTAGACGATCAAACTGACAACAGTCCAGTAAAAAAAGAGAGTGATAGTGGCTTTCATATGAAGATGAAATATATATATATATAATGATAAATGACTACATTTATTGGCGTATTCTTAACTGATCATCAATTATCATGTTCAAAAATATTAACATACTAAGAATTTAGATTTTTTTCTTATTGAAAGACAATCATTAATGCATTTTGCAGTGATTTTGATAATGACTGGCGTGCTTCTGCTCAACAGTTTGGACATATGATTCAGTGATATTACTAAATGCAATTCCGTACAGTTTAATATGTATTTATTTTTTTGATATATGACCTCATTGAAAGCTGTAGCTATACTCTTTCAGAAATGACAATATAGCTGATATTCCCTTTTGGACAACTACCCATGGTTGCACTCAATCAGGTATGTAGAAGCCTCACTCTGAGACGCCTTTGGGTCAGTTTAGTAAAAAGTTTGGTTGGGAATTTGGAGCACACCTCGTGTCGATATTTTTCATGAAGATCTTAGTGAGGTGTAGAAGTTATATTTACAGTTATATACTCTGGTTTTATATTTTTGTTGCATACCTATCAAACTTGATATAAATGCTTCAAATTCTTTTAATGATTATCAGTTACTGCATGCATAGATATAAGAAGATGTGGTATGAGTGCCAATGAGACAACTCTCCATCCAAGTCAAAATTTATAAAAGTAAATCATTATAGGTCAAAGAACGGTCTTCAACACGGAGCCTTGGCTCACACCGAACAGCAAGCTATAAAGGGCCACAAAAATTACTAGTGTAAAACCATTCAAACGGGAAAACCAACGGTCTAATCTATATAAAAAACGAGAAACGAGAAACACTTATGAACCACATCAACAAACGACAACTACTGCACATCAGATTCTTGACTTGGGACAGGTGCAAACAATTGCAGCGGGTTTAAACGTTTTGATGGTACCAAACCTTCACCCTTATCTGAAACAATAGTGTAACATCACAACATAGAAAGACACACTATAAAATATCAATTGGAATGGCTTAACTCAATCAAAAGACATATTAGACACCAGTGAACATACACTGAACAAATAAATTTGATCTATGATACAATGTAAATACAAAATAAATAAACTAAGGGAAGAATAATTAAGTAACATGTTATACCGCTGTGAAATGTTAAACAATTTAAGAAAAACAATATGCTTGAACAAAAATATCAGCCATTTGCAATTACTTTAAACACAGGTAAATGAAAATAATTTTATTGTTAGGTATACGTGTACAGTCCAAAGAGAGAAAGGAAAAATTTTTACAAAATAAATAATTTTGATGTTCATTGTACGAAGAAGTGAAAATTTATAGTAAAACCAAACACTTATCAAAGCTGGCGTATAGACCAGATATAACCCTGAATAACATTAAATAACAAAAAAGCATTACAATTAGTATCAACAGGTCAAATAAACAAGAAAGTCATGAATGTCAGTTTATCTGCGTTTTATGTTTGCTTTTTTATTGCTTTGCTAGGCATGTGTATGTGTTCAAGTGATAAACTTATGTTTTTTCAACACACATACACATTGCATGTTTGTCTGATGTTATTTGTTATGCATGTAGTTTTAGTGTGTCGGTTTTATAAGCTCTAAAGAGCTTATGTTTAACCGTATTGTATGCTTTTTACCGACTTTAAATACATTTTATTTGGTTTTAAATGCTTTTATTTCAATTGAAATGGAACCCTACATCCACGAATTCCAAAATCCTTATATAGTTCATGTCAAACTTTATTTCAATAAATTGTTGAATGAAAAGACTTCATTCATGAGGGCATCAATATGTCTGGTAAAATACTGGAACTGACTGGATAGATTTATATAATTGTTTGCTTCAATCACTGGCTTATTAATTCAAAAGTGTTATAATTTTCTGTGCACTTTGTTATTAGTATTTATGCTATGCTGTTTTATACGTTTTATGCCTTGTGTTTATCATATGTATGTGCTCTACAGGGCTTATGTTGTATTGTTATATGTATACCCGACTTTAAATAAATCTTTAATGCTTGATGCTTTATATTGTTTGTGTCAAGACCATGCAGATTTGTCCCCATTTTTCATTATTTAGTTTAGATTACTAGTATTCTATGAATAGTAACTTTAAACAAAATTCTTAATACCTTTCCCGTCATCTGATTCCAGGGGATTCGCTAGGTATGAAATGAATCATATATATATATATAGTATAGGCACAAATTGCCGAAGTCTGTCTGGTGATCCAACCACCAAAGGCCTACGGCAGGTCCAGGCCAGAGCTCTGGTAGGGGTCCAGGTGAAGCGAAAACGGTTATCAGCAGTTAAGATGCAAAATTTACGAATTCACAAAATATAAAATGTTCTGGTCATTTTATCATGAAAAAAATCTAAGAATCATAATAATTTTACAATAACATCTGACTGATATAAGCGATATCAAAAATTGAAGCAGTACAATAAGAAATCTCAAGAATATGTTTTATACAATCTCAACCTTCACGGCCCAGCATAGACCTTTAGTTAAGCAGTAAATCCTGTTGAACACGTTCATATATCCGTTACGTTCTGATTGAGGTTAATTTCTATAAGGATCTAGAAGTAATTTTGAATAAATACGTGAATCATGTTGTAAGTACTACAGATCCTTCATAAAAAATACGACATTGAAATATTCAAACAATAAAGTATCGTTCATCAAATTGGACAGGGCTGACCAATCATTCATTTTTTGGAGGGGTTAAATAAACTGGTTGATTCCAAATTGCTTGAAAAAAAAATTCAGAAGGGAAGAGAAACCCCCCCCCCCCGTAACATCCCCATACCTGCTTGGGAATCAAGTTAGAATACTAGTAACTGAGGTTTATTTTATAGATTGAATTTTTTGTTAATGTACTGTGTCATCCATCTGAGAATGTCAATGTCAGTATGTGAGGTTCATTCAGGTATTTGTTGATGTGAAATCTGAACCAGAGCTGGAAGGCTTCACATCCGATTTATTCTATCCTTGCCGTTTAAGCTGGGACTATTATAGTCATTATATTATGCCCCAGCTTTAAGTCTAGATTAAGGTCCTGACATTTTTAACAATTCAATAGTCTCTTTGATGAAGTTTGAATATAATGTGCTTATAATTCTTTCCAACGCTCGATCCTTCTTCAATGACGACTCACTAGTGTATATTTGACATTCAATTTGGATAATTAAAGATTGTTTGCGATATGTGGTATGAGTGCCAATGAGACAACTGTCCATCAAAGTTAAAATGAAGTGGATGTAAGCAATTATAAGCAACCGTACGCTGTATAAATATAGCATTCAACAATGAGAAAAACCCATACCGTATACTAGTAGTCGGCTATAAAAAGCCCCGATATGAAAAATATGAAACAATTCAATTTAGAAAACTAACGGCTTAATATTTAAAACAATTTACGAAAAACAAATATGACAGACATGTAAATTAGAAATTTTACAGAATATAGGCAGAAACTTTTTTATGATCAAAAGAGTATCCAGAGCATAATTATGAAAATTTACTTTTAATTTTTCCGCATTTTACTGAAAAGAACATTGTTTTTATTAGTTAACAAGTAGATACTGTTTGTTACGCATCAATTACTTTGTCAATTTAAAACTTCATCGAATTTTATGTAAAAATGTTAACACCAACTGTACGATTTTTTTTGCACCAGATGCGCATTTCGACAATTTTATGTCTCATCAGTGATGCTCGAGGCCGAAATATTTGAAAATCCAAAACCTAATAAAAACATTGGAAGAGCTGATCAAAATAAAACATACCTAAAGTATAGCCAATTCCGGACAAAGAATCAGAGCTTTGCATGGGGGAGATATATTCTTTTATTTTTAAATGATTTCAAAACTTTTATAAGTCAGCAAATTTCAGTCTAAAAATTATATTTTTTTTCATTTTTCAGTATTTTATCATTTTTTTAGGGCAATTTGTACTGTACCCGCTGGGGACCCTCAAACCCCTCGCCGAGGTTCGGGCGTACACTTAAAAATCGCTTAGCTACGCTACTGATTTTGGACATAACATATTGACTATCTCAGGTTTCAATAACTATATTTTGAGAGTTTTCCCGTATTTTTCCTGTCTGAATGCTTATGGTTTATCGTTTTTGCCAATGACGTTATTTACATCAAATGAACAACTCGAGATTGGTCTAAACCCTATGGCGCGCGACAAAATGTCACAGAAAAGGGATCTGTTCGACTCGCCATACTGTTTTCTGTTTACTGGTAGGTTTCTCCTATCTAAGGAGCACTCCCAAAGGATAAATATATAAATAATTTGAACATATATTAACATTTACTAAAGACTTAGTTTTAACTTACTGTTATTAGCACCATCACCCATATATAGTCATATACACTGTACAATATATATTAACGATTGACATTAATTTTAGAACGCATCCCAAAGGTTTTTCGGAAGTAATTAATGTCACTCTATCTTTTGAGCTAAAGATCAGAAAAGTTCTGAATGAGTTATTTTGCCAAGCACTTCCGCTCAACTTTGACATGTCACTTGTCAGACGGATTAACTAAAAATCAGCACGATGACAGGATTTTGGATATTGTAACATCAGTTTAATACAAATTCATACAGTCTGCGATTGGCATGAGTAGAGGTTATGCTAGACCAAACACCCGGGATTCTCTCCTTAAAAAAAATGAAGATTATCCATATGCACAAATCCAAAATGTTAAAAAATCCCGGGTCTACGTATTTGGCGATGCAGACCTCGAGGAGGATGAAATCGTTGAATATGAGATGTCTGAAATGCGATCCAGGAACCAACAAACTAAAAAGAACAAAAAGAAAAATGAACCACTTTTGTTTGATAGGAAAATCACTGATGGAGACACATTACAAAGTCTTTCCTTACAGTTTGGATGTCCGGTGCGTTTATACAATTTTAATGTTTTTACCAAATTTTGCTGTGTTTAATGCACATTTCTTTTGATTCTGGACTTATCCTCTTCAGGGAACTCAGAACAAATGCATTCATAGAATGATCCCCAGAAACTTTGTTATAAACAATGTCGTAATCAAGGCTTCCAAAACGGTCATATATTCCGGACATTTGTATAATGTCCGGTAAAATTCCGGCTGGGCAAAGCATGAAACGGTCATCTACTTTTTAGTTTTCAAGGCTTTCTTAAACGGTCATTTTAACATAATTCACGATCTTTTTGACCCAACCATTTGCCTTTAACAGCCACACATTTCCGGTCATAAAAGTGACATGATCATTAAGTACTATCAAAACAACCCCTACTTTAATACCTTCTCTTTTAAAAAAAGGCTAATTAGTTGTCTAACAGCTGAAATTTACATGTTCAGGTGACAGGTAAACTATTTTGAACCGGACATTGATCGGTCTATTCAAAGTTATTTTCTTACATTTCAGCGGTTTGCATCTAATTAATTTAGTCAAAAAGATTTAAATTATCAGAAATACGTTTACAAATATGAGTTGATGAAAAAATTATAAAGGTGAAAATGAAAAATCGTGATAACCACGTTGTTTAAACCAGAGACATGTCTCTGTTTGAACTAGTTCACGTGTGTGCGTGTGCGCAGGTGTGAAATTTAATTATGCATCCTAATTTCTTCAAAAAATGCTTAAATTGTCATTGATACCTTTAACTCACGTTTATTTCGAATATTTTTTTGAAGAAATAACGTAGAAAGAGCTACTTACACGGAATTTACGTATCCGACTCTGGTCCATGTTTTACAATTGTCAAGATAACATCCGGTATTAGATTTATAAACGAAAGTAAAGTTTTTGACAACGTTATTTTGCACAAATAAAGAGTCTAAGGCAGATATAAGTACGCTGATGTTGCACACTTGGAATGATGCACTGCCAATTTAACAGTTTACGTCAGAACTTCGAATTTGAATCAAAGAAAGTTTCATATCGTTTTTTTTTTTCAAATTAAAATGTCAATCATTGGGATGGCCAACTCGGCAACTGATTACCATAATTGCCTTTTGTTTATTTAGTCTTAAGGAATTAAAATTGGGATAATATATAAAATGTCCGGCTGGCTAAAAATAATTTTGGAAGCCCTGGTCGTAATACATGTACATATATCTGTTGCTGTTGGAACATATATTTTATGCCTTTTTTTCATATGGAACAAATTATGTATATAATGATCATACCTGCCAACCCTCCTGTTTTGAGCAGGAGTCTCCCGAGCAATCGACAAAATTCTGGAAATCTCCCTCTTGCCCGTCCGCTCCCACGCGGGAGTATAGAATCTTCCACTTTCTGATATTTTAACCTGGAATAACCTGTGTTCGTAATTCTCTGGCTTTTTCATTACTTTGAATAGAAATAAATAAACAATCGGTGATCATTTGAAAACTTTCGTCAGTAGTTTTTATGTACGATGTAAAAGTATTTGAAATTCAGTTCTGCTATGTCAACTCCAACAAGATAGACTAGAGGTCTTTGTCTGGACTAAGCGGCAGTGTAATAAAGAAGAAATAGATAACTACAAATAGAAATGTCAAGCAGATTTGAATGAAAGATTTTAAATTTTTACGACCAAGTTCACTTGGCAATGAATCCTTTTGCACATAATGTTCAATCAACTTTTCGATTTCTTCTGGTTGTCTGTGTGATGTTTGAAAGCATGCTAAGTGTGAGACTAACAACAAAATCAAAATATGGAATGTTGTGAGTTATGAGACTTGGAGGTATTGAAAAAGGCTTAAAAAAAAACCCCACCTTGTTAGATTATAACCATGAATTGAAGAAATAAGTATATTTAGGCCACACCAATTTGATTAATAGTTCTTTGGATTTTCCCGCTCCTGGTTTGGAGAAATTGACTTTTCAATAAAAAAAAATAATTACCGCTTCCGCCAATTTTTGGGCCGCATGCCGCTCCAAAATTAGTTTATCCTTGACATTTTTTTCTCTTAGACGTTTTTCTCGTGCATATATTGCTCCGAGCGATTCAAACGCACGTGTGATAAATCGATTTGTAAATAAAAGGTCAAAAATCGGGATGCCAACATGAAGTTCTGTCAGATCATTGCCGAGGACACGTAGTTATTAAACACACAGTTATTTGAAATGCGTTTCGTTTTACCTGTTCTAGGAGACAAAAATAAAAAAATCTTTCGTTAGATGACCACGATCACATCAGTACTTGTTAGAACCATTGTCATCCCCGATCATTGTTTCAACAGACCAAGGAATTGTATATTTAGATATTTAAATATACAATTCCTTGAACAGACATAGTCCGAGACTACTCCGACGTCCAACAGCTGTTTGCCAGACAAGATGGGGGGCTGTTGTCCCACGGCCCCAGCTTGTCTGGCAAACAGCCGTTGGATGTCAGAGTAATCTCGACTACAACAGACATAGATATCTAGAGCTATCTGTCTTGGATGAAATTAATATTAAATTCACATGAATTTTTGAAAAATGACAGATTTATCTTATTTTAATGAAAACCCCATATCCCCTTGTTAGTCTATTGACATGCAATCAGAACTCTTTTGTAAGGGAAAATTTAAGAGTTCCAACATTCGAGACCAAAGTGGTGGTATTGGGATTGGCATGCTAATAATAATCATGATAATTAGGGATGTGTTATTGGTGCAACCACTTCCAGTTTGAAATACATTGCAGGTTTCAGGGGCAAAAGGAAAAAGTATTTTGCTAAGTCAGAATAATGCATGTGAATGTGGTTAAATGTATTTTAAGGGAAAAGATATAGGAAGATGTGGTATGAGTGCCAAAATGACAACTCTCCATCCAAGTAACAATTTATAAAAGTAAACCATTATAGGTCAAGGTATGGCCTTCAACACGGAGCCTTGGCTCACACCGAACAGCAAGCTATAAAGGGCCCCAAAAATTACTAGTGTAAAACCATTCAAACGGGAAAACCAGCGGTCTAATCTATATAAAAACGAGAAACGAGAAACACGTATGAACTACATAAACAGACGACAACTACTGTACATCAGATTTCTGACTTAGGACAGGTGCAAACATTTGCAGCGGGATTAAATGTTTTAATACGTATACATTGAGATCTACATGCATAGCAATATAATTATCTTACTCAGGATGTTGTTGAAATATTCACCTCACTCATTATGTTGATCCTATTATGGATAAATAGTTCAAACTGGATGTCAAGCAGCCAATAAACAATCATTACCATATAATGAAAACAACTATATCAAAAGATATTTAATATTTTTCAAGGGCATTTTTTTTGGAATACATACACATATTTTAATTGTATTCAACACATTTCATTTACCTAACTAACATAATTCCTCTTGCTAAACTGCATCTGATATGCTTCCTTAATATATACACATGTATGAATTTAAATGAAAATTCACACAGTCAAAGCTTATTTGACGAAAATAATCAAAATTATACTAAACCAAAGCGAACCAAAAAGTTGGGTATGGTACAGACTACTACAGGCACAAATACATCAAATTATATGCATAAGAGCATGTTTATCCTCCTTTTTCTTTGAAGTACCCCAGTTTTAACATGTACAAATATTCTAAATCGCACAATTTAAAAAAAAAATTATACCGCTCGCTCCACTTGTAGAGCACCCGCCTCAACAAAACTCATTTTCAAGAAATAAATACAATCAAAAAAATTTCGCTCGCTCGCCCCATATTTTTTGGAGCTTTTGTCCGAAGAACTAAAAATCAAATTGGTGTGGCCTTATTAACTCTTATTGGTGTTTTGTAGATGATCATGAATACGTTAACATGTCATGTATTTTACTTGAAAATGTCGTTCTCGCAAAATCTCCCCCTCAACTGTCATAGCTGAGGGGGAGATCTCCCTCTTTGAAGGTTTTAGAGGTTGGCAGGTATGAATGATATACCAGTACAGTATATTTATTCCACTTGGAGTGCAAATTTTATGAAGGAACTTCTATTTCATGACATGTTGACACTTCACTTACAAGCATCTGACAACACTCAGTTCTGATAACTATAACATGTATAACATCAGCCAATGAAATTTCTGCCTCAAAATTGATGAAGGTGTATACCTTTTCACTAAACTGGAGGATTTCAAAAAGTTTTTTTATCAAAGTAGAACAGATAGTGTCAGATTCTTGCACATTTAATCAGATTCCTATTTGGATGTAAGTGTTATCATACATGTAAGGTTTCCGGTGTGTATCAAAATGATTTTTGAGTAACATTATCACCTGACATATTGTATATTTTGTTCTCTAGACTGGTTCTGATTATTTGTGTCATTTCTATACCTGTCAACTGACCCGAATTTGTGAGCTATTAAGTGCATGACTTCACTTGACAGCTTTGGTGTCAAACTCACTGTAAATTATCATCAATTACACAATGTACCTTAGCCTAAGGTTATGAATAATTTGTGTATTTCAAAGATATTTGACTGCCTTGGTGGTCTTGTGTAGCGTGTTCGCCTCAAGTGCAGGAGGTCCTGGGTTTGAACCCCGGCAAGGTCAAACCAAAGACTTTAAAATTGGAATTTGCTGCTTCTCTGCTATTAAAGCACGAGGCATCAAGGAGTAAGAGCAAAGACTGTTCGGCTCAGAGTTAGAATAATGTGTCAGTGTAAGTTGACATGTCTTCCTGAGGACTGTTACCTTGTGAACTAGCACGTTAAAAATCTGGCTAAGCATGTCGGTCCAGAACAAAGCAGGGTAAATATTCATACTACATTAACATGTTCTCGTCCTGAATATGCATATTGATTTGCCGCTGGACGTTAAGCATCCATCAATCTAATCATTATCATCATCATCATCATCATCATCATCATCATCATCATCATCATCAAAGATGTTTGACAAAAAAATTGGAGTTGCATGTCATGTATACTTAAAGAAATTCCCTATGTAAATTAAATCCTTTTGAGTATCTCTTATTTTTATCCAGCTATTGATTTTGACATACATAACAACCACACACGTAAATAATAAAAGTTTGTAAAACTAAACAAAATAAAGGCCAATACCATGAATACTGTATATATAACTTTTAAAGTGACATTCATAAAAACAAAACAGTGTACATAGTGTGCTGTACTTAGTTGATTGAAATACAAAATTTTCTCTACAAAACTACCCTTATACTCTAATATTATTAGAGGTGTTCCTGTCTATAGGAAGCTAATACTAAGAAGAAGTTACTCCCCTTTTTTTACCCTTTTCACAGTATACTCCTTAAATAGATGTTTCTTAGTAAAAAGATTAAATTTAAGGCAAATTAAATGCAAAGATGTATAAGAATATTACTGAAAAGATTTTAACTTTCTTCGGACAATTAAAATATTAATGTTTTGAAATTTTATTTTTTTTTATCTCTACTTCCTTTAGGTACTTAGATTTTAGATTATATTATCTAACATAAACTTCTTTTAAATGGAATATAAAGTAAAGCAATTTATTTAATGATATTATATCTGTAATGCAACTAATAAGCTAGAACAAACCATAAGGGTTATGTTACAACATTGCAAGTGAAACAATAAGAGGGGTTATGGTCATGATGGTTTGAATTGAGATAGTATAATTAATTTATTTATTATTTCAAAGATCAATAAATGCAATATGAAAAGATAAAATTAAAGTATTAAATTATTTTCAGTAAATACTTTACCATGTGAATATGTTTTGGAAACTGGTATTTGATTTAAGATATAAATAATATCCCCTAAATACTTAAATTCAGCTGAAAAAAAATGTAAGCATTTTGACCTGAGATTTTCCTCCTCAATGCAGGTCAGGACCAGCATTTTCATTTTCAGAGGTTGACAGGTATGCATTTGGTTGCTATATCATTGATGTAAACCCCGCATGAGCTTATAAGCTCATCATCAGTATACCATATAAAAAAAGAAGATATGGCACTTTTTCTAGAGCACAAAACAGCACGCACAAAAAACGCCGCAAAGAATTGTAACCTTTGAAATTGTTGTCACACACTAAAACCCCATGGGGATTTTCAAAAGTTGGCAGGTATGCGCAACTCCATTTATTCTTGTGTTCAGTTAAAGTTTTCTTTGACAAGAATTTTATGATCAACAGAAACAATGTTCATCTCTTCTCTCAGAAATATCAAGCTCTTTGAATATGGAATCTGGTAGTATATAAGCTACAATTAAATATTGTTGAACAAGACTGAAAAAAACAATTGTTTTTGTTGATCTCAAAGAGTGTTAATTTGCGATTTATGAGTGTCTAGAAAGGAGGTCCTTCAATTCTGTAATTAATTTTTAAACCATTTTTCTCTATTCTTTATAAATTTTGTCCAACATTCTTTATTTTTAAGGCCTATTTTTTCTCTATTTTTTATATTTTTTGCCCTTTATTCTGCACATTTTGCCCATTATATTCTGTATTTTGTAAACCCCATCCAGACCCTCATTTATATAGATAAATAAATATTCTTTAATGTTAAGTTATAATAATCAACAGAACACATATTTAATTCTTCCAATCAAATCACTTATATATTTGATTGCACTTACTTACTTAAAACAAATTTAATATTAAGCACAGGTAAATAAAAGAAAAACTTGATAGCAATCATGTTTTCATGATCCTAGTAAAAGAATGTAATTATAAGTATTGAATGCTTCTTTTGGTAATTTTATAGGGTTGTAAAAGCGTTGACCATGCACACATTTTTGTGGAGCCTTCAACTTTTGTTGTAAAAGCGAGACATAGCGATCCTACATTCCGTCGTCGGCGGCGGCATCCACAAATATTCACTCTGTGGTTCAAGTTTTTGAAATTTTAATAACTTTCTTAAACTATCCTGGATTTCTACCAAACTTGGACAGAAGCTTGTTTATGATCTGACAAGATTATATTCAAAAGTAAATTTTGTAAAAAAAAAAATCCATTTTTTCCGTATTTTACTTATAAATGGACTTAGTTTTTCTGCCAGGAAACATTACATTCACTCTGTGGTTAAAGTTTTTGAAATTTTAATAACTTTCTTAAACTATCCTGGATTTCTACCAAACTTGGAAACAAGCTTGTTTATGATCATAAGATAGTATCCAGAAGTAAATTTAAAAAAAAAAAAATTCTATTTTTTCTGTGTTTTACTTATAAATGGACTTAGTTTTTCTGCCAGTTAACATTACATTCACTCTGTGGTTAAAGTTTTTAAAGTTTTAACAACTTTCTTAAACTATCCTGGATTTGTACCCCACTTGGACAGAAGCTTGTTTATTATCAAAAGCTAGTATCTAGAAGGAAATTTTGATAAAATTTTGTTCCATTTTTTCCGTATTTTACTTATAAATGGACTTAGTTTTTCTTCCAGTCAACATTACATACATTCTGCAGTTTAAGTTTTTAAAACATTTATTAGGTTCATAAATTATCCTGGATTTTTACCAAACTTGGCAGAAGCTACTTACAATCAAAAGATAGTATAGAGAGGAGTACTTTTTAATTTTTTTCCTCATTTTTGTTGAGCCTGCGATTAACAGCAAAAGTAGGCGAGACATTGGGTTCCGCGGAACCCTTACAAATTTTTAGAATGAAGTGCTTCTGCGCTTCATACAAAATGTACTTCAGTCAACGCTTTTACACCCCAATAAATTTACAAAAAGAAGCATTCAATTCTTAAACAAACTGAAAATACAAATTTATCATCAGTAATTTGGTAAAAAAACATGTACAATATATATTCCAAGAACAGACTTGTAAAACTGCTGTCAACGGAAACAGATATTAGTGCATGATTTGTTTATAAAATTGGATAAATACATGTAGCTACCATTATTTACTTTTATTATATTGTTAACATTGAAACTTATTTTGATTGAAACTAATTGTAATTGATTTTTCTATATATTTCATAGGTGGCTGAATTGAAGAGGGTGAATAATTTTATAACAGACCAAGACTTTTATAGCCGTCGTTCAATTAAAATCCCAGTAAAACAGTACTCATTTTTAACAGAAATGCTTGACAAACAAAAAGAGGAGGAAGTGGATGATAAGATAAAGAATGGAATGACTATTGTTGATGAAACAGAGGAGAATGTTGGCTTCATGGGATCAACTGAGACAGATAGTGAATCTTTACATGACCTTAGTGACCCAGAGACTCAGCTTCAAGTCATTAGAACTATTAGCATTAATGACACGTTTCGTAGCCAGTCAAAAGAAGCCAAAGAATTCTTGAAGAATATGGACAAAGATTTATCTAAAATACGGAACACAAGAGGTGACAGAAATTCTTTAGATGAGGTTGTGTCATTACTTACCAGTCGACGAATACAGCCTTTTCCTAAAAAGCCAGCAGCTGTCAACTGGGTAGACTGTGGGGTTCGATGGTGGACTATTGTTTTAGTGATTATTGTTGTAGCTATACTGGTTCCCTTAGTTATATTAGTATATTATGAGTTAAGAAGCAAGTCTTGATGGCTAAGTCATGTGATATTTTATTCTGGATAGTTTTTTTCCTGTCTCTCATCCTTTTTTTTTACTGATCATGACAGGCTGGTGTAATAAAGTTAAAGTCAATAAAGGGAATGGTTTTGTTATAATAAGAAATTTTTAAATGATGTACTTAATCTCATTTTTACAAATACACTGTACTTGATATACATGTAGTAAAATATATATTGCAACAGTTAGAAAGTGGGACATTTTCAAAAACAAAATCTGGTTTGTTTATACATGTAGCATGTGTATGTGATACAAAAATGTAATTTAGGTAAACAAAATATCAGTATTTCCACTTTTTGTAATTTGAATTTATTCAACTTCTTTTGTATATATGTAGTTCATGTTATTACATATAAATGAATCTGTTAAAATGAATACTCAGTACAAATTTAACATGTGAATTAGAATTTTTTTAAGTTATGAAAAGAAGAATTATGGTCAGATCATGTTTTCGTACGTCATATGAATTTGTCTATGCATGCTTTTTTAATGGAAATTGTGACGTCACAATGCATTCTTAATAGCACGAAAACTCATGAGATGAGGATATATATATGATAAGTGCTAAAGAGATTGTCTTGCTTGCAACAATTTTTTTAATAGCCCCCTCCCCAAAATAATTTGGAGTTGGAGGTCCAAAAATTTAGTCATGCTCTAGGGAATTTGCACTAATTGTATTATTCAATGTTTATAGTTTCAAAAGTATGCAGTCTTTAGGGGTGATAAATTTTATGGATGCTTTTAATTTTACTGCAAAGAAAGTGAGACATATCACTGTTACTATTTGTTTTATAAACATATATGTTATAAATATGTATATTTACTATGTTTTTATTGAACAACATGGTGTCTTTTCACTCATTTTTCAAAAATAAATAGTTTCAAATACGTTGCATTTTTTTCACAAGAAGATCGGAGAGCCTTTATCATTAAGTATTAATATTAAACACTCTTTTCTCTAACTTTGGCCCATTCCTGCCAACTAACCAGATCTAGGACAGAGACTCCCTCTTTTTCCTTTAAAAATTTGAAATCTCAATTTTTGGACCTGTTATCTGTGAGTAAGGTTAAAATTTACTGCTATGGAAAATCACCCTTTCATCTATTGAGTACATTGTTGTTTTGATAGGATTTTATTAGAATGATTTTCACTGTGATGTTAAAATGATGCTATTTGCAAAGTTTACGATTACCAATATCATCTGGAATGTTGTTTTAACTAATTAAATCCATTTATAGATAATTAAATTTTATCTGTGTGTGTGGAACTGTTAAAATACTCTGAACCTTAATGCAAAATTTTAAATGAAAAATGGTTTTTAGACAAAATCTCCCCCTTAGTGTATCTATAAAGAGGGAGATCTCCCACTTTGTATATGTAGCTCCAAAAGTTCGGCAACTTGGCAGGTTTGTGTTAGCATCAAATGAACCAAAATTTGTATCGATTTTTGTCACATTGTATTTTTGAGCTACCCATAGTTTCAAATGGAGAATTATTTTTAAAATTTTTTGTTGTTTATCCATTAAAACTTTACACATTCCCAGGTAGCAGCTTTTAGATCATATAAACATTCAGATCAGCCAGATATATTATTATTTATAAAGGTTGTTTGTAAAGTTCTACTTTCTTGGTGCTCATGTGTATGTAATGCTTTTCATGTGCAATACCAATCATAGTCATTGTTAGTGATTCACTATCTACAATTTTTGGAAGATTTTATATGAATATTAGGGCTAAATATTTTTGATAGATTGGAGTAAAATATATAATATTGGCAAAATGCACTGAGCTGGTTCATAGAGTGATTTTGAATACAATTCATCTGGAAGGAAGGTCTATTATTTTATAAATAATTTCACCAACTGTTCCATGAACCATTTGGCATTCAAGCATTTTTTTCAAAATTGATTTGAAGAACCAAACACAAAGTTGTAATTAAATATCAGTAGATTCTTCAACTTTGTATCCAAGTATCTTGATAATTAGGATTTTTTCTAATTCAAATTATCTCCCTTGTTTATTTTTTTGTTTGTATGACATCAATGCTCATGTTAGGTAGGTAGGTAGACAAGCATATGTGTATAATGATATAACAAACAAATTGAATGTCAAAATCAGGCTGATAATTTTGTAATATCAATATAATTATTTTATATCTAATTAGGATTGCATTTGTACAATGGCATTATGTGGCATACTATTGTACATATCTAGTCCTTTGGATTTACACTTTTAGATTTAATTTGCTCGTCAATTTTAGGAAGGTGAGAGATTTTTCTATGCATGTATTATATGACAAAGAAGACTGCTTCTCTTGAGAAAAAATATTAACGTGATGGACACATTGAAGTCACATTCCAATTATTTTTCAAACTCTTACCTTATTTGCAGAGATAAATGTAGAAGATTTTCCCTGTCTTTGTTATTTCCCATGGAATTAATTCATTTTTCAAAAAGTTATAAAGTTTAAAGTAGAAAATGTTAAAAAGTCTATATAATTAATTTTTTTTTATAAGTCATTTAATTTCAGTCTAATAAATTAAAGAGGGTCATGATAGCTTCATTATTCTGTATTTATAATTTTTGTTGGTGCATCATTTTGAGTTTTGAATGGGAATTTTCTAAAAAGAGAAAATGGCAATATATTGATGATTAAATTTTATGCCATTTTCTCTTTTTATTAAACTGACATTTAGATCCTCAGATCATATGTCTGTATAGGCTTAGTAAATATTATTTTATAGAGATGATCACTTCTGTCAGTGTAAAATAAAATTAATTGGATTCATTTGAAAATGTTTGTTTATTATAAAACATATCAAAAAGATGGTAATACTTACTATTGTACATGCAGAATGTATTTTATTGAATAGATTTTAGAAATAAATATGGTCATTATGGCAAATATGAATACACTAATCAGTCTGTTTCCTAAGAAACTTAAATTAATCTGTTACAGGTATTATAGAAACTAATTATTCTGTTATAGTCATGAAAGAAGCAAACCTTTGGCACTGTCCAGTTCATTTGGGCATAACTTATAGATAGCAAATTTCTATATAATCTTTATTAAAAACACATATAAAATGAACATTTCTATTAGAGATTTTAAAATTGGGACCATTCATGTATATCACTACTAATAATTAAAATTATTTGGTTGTGGTTCTAATGTTAGCTTTGATGTTTTGATATCTTTCAAGAAACTAAAACGAAAGAGAGGATCTCAGGTATCAACAAAATGGCCTGAAAAGCTATATTTTCTTTTCACATTGTTTTTTTTTTTATCTTGGAAAAATGGGTTCATGTTGTAAAATTGGCATTACTGTAAGTAATTAATCACACACGATATATTGAGAATACAACTTGTGTTCATGTTAGTGTTTGAATACTGTATTGTAATAGTCTTCACCATAAAAAGCTAGACCACTGACCTAAGACAGTGAAAATTCAGTAGCCAGGGTTAGATGATTCTTAAAAAGTAGCTACAAGCCGTATAGATATATGTATCTGAAACTGATTTTTGGGTCAGTTAGCCAACAACTTTTGAGAAGACTGAATTGTAATATATTTGTTATAATGGTGATGTGAGTTTATTATGTTGATAATGTTATTTCAGTATTATGTATCAAATTTACTGAAATATTTTAAAATTCAGCAATATTTTGCAGGACAAAAAATTTCAAATAAAAATCTTTGAAATATTACTTGATTTCTGTATGTCTAAATCCAAGATATTTATCATAAAAAAAATCATATTCCTGGCTATAGAAAAATGTAATTGTTGTGTTAGTTTGTTTGTTCATCCTCACCTTCTATCACAAATATAAACATAAGAGACAAACCAACACCAAACTTGACAACCACCAAGGATTGTAATAGTATTTTCAGTACTGTAAATTCAAATTATTGTGTGCACTAATAATTGCGTTTTTAAGCGGATTTTTGTGTCAAAAATGTCGGTTATTGATTTGGGGATGTACGGCGGGCGGTCGGTCGGTCGGGCGGGCGGCAACCAAATGTTGTCCGTGCATTTACTCATGAACCATTCAACCAAACCTTTTAAAATTTTAATATGTTGTTACTGACAACAAAATGGAGGTCAAGTTTAATAATGACGATTTTGACTTCTACCGTTCAGGAGTTACGGTTCTTGAAAGTTTAAAAAATGTCGTGTCCGTGCATTTACTCATGAACCGTTCAACCAAACCTTTTTAAATTTTAATATGTTGTTACTGACAACAAAATGGAGGTCAAGTTCAATAATGACGATTTTGACTTTTACCGTTCAGGAGTTACGGTTCTTGAAAGTTTAAAAAATGTCGTATCCGTGCATTTACTCATGAACTGTTCAACCAAACCTTTTTAAATTTTAATATGTTGTTACTGACAACAAAATGGAGGTCAAGTTCAATAATGACGATTTTGACTTTTACCGTTCAGGAGTTACGGTTCTTGAAAGTTTAAAAAATGTCATGTCCGTGCATTTACTCATGAACTGTTCAACCAAACCTTTTTAAATTTTAATATGTTGTTACTGACAACAAAATGGAGGTCAAGTTCAATAATCACGATTTTGACTTGTACCATTCAGGAGTTACGGTTCTTGAAAGTTTAAAAATTGTCGTGTCCGTGCATTTATTGCCTTTCCATTTGAAAACTATACAATTCATTCATTTTTTTTTTTAGATATTTTCAAAATCCTAGGTAGGTGGACTTAGTAATTTTTTTTTACTTTATGCATTAAGGGCACACAGTTTGTCCTGCTAGAGGGTCATTTTCTATCTAGTTTATATGTTGTTATTGTTGACAACATGGAAGTCATGTTTGATATTGATGATCATAAATTTTACCTATTAGGAGTTTTGGTCCTTGTGATATTGATTAATGCCAGAACACAAATAAATGTTAAAGAATCCGGTTTACTGTCATTTTGACAGCTCTTGTTTAAAAAATGGACAAAAATGCGAAATTACTGATCTATACTGAACATTTAGATATATGGAAATATATACAAAATTAGAAACGACTCATTAAACAACTACTGAAAAATCACTAATTAGTGAAATTTCAGGGAAATCTTCATACAGATATATGTATTTGATATCAGAATGGGGGTTCTTATTGCGATACTCACTCATTTCCATAGAGATTACTTGGCCCTGCCCCCTCAGTCATGGTAAATTGAATTTGAAACTTTGGCATAGTTAACATGTTAAAGTTTGTGATTAGGTTAGTTTAAGGTGAACCACTAATGATAAGTTAAGGGTATTTGCTATGTAGTTGTATAAGCACTGGCATATCTAAATATTACATACAGGCGAGACATATCTCTGTCAACAGTATATTATCTCTTGTCCAGTTGTTGTTTTTGATCAAGTGAATTATTGTTGTCCGTCTTTATGATAAAGTTCATGCTGGATCTTAAAAAGCATGCATGGTCTTGAATTTTTATACGACGGCAAAATTTTTATCCTCATTGTTGAAGGAATTCTAATAGTAATGATAACACCATATTTGTGACGCAGCTAGGTGTATGATGGTCTGTGTACTTGTTCTGATAGAAATAGACTCGCCATTTGTTGGAGGATTTTAACAATAACACCTTTTAAACACAAATCCTCTCTTAGAAAGCTCTCTTACTTGGTTGTATTGTTTGCAATCATATGTCGTCAAAACATATTATACAGTCATTTTGATCTGACCATTTTTACGGAAGTTATGGGACTTAAACTATTTTTTTTCAGTATTGTAAAAGTTTCACCTTGTAAATGCAAGTTCTAGGATACCACTTGACAGAAATCTCTCATACTTGATAGGATTGTTTGCCATCGTGTAGTTGACCACATAATACCATCATTTTTATGAAAGTTATGGGACTTATATCATATTTTGACTATCTTACCCCAAATCGACACACAATTTAATTCCTCATTTATACATTGCCAGGGACATTTTACAGAAGTTAAATATCTGACTTGATCTCTTTTGGTTTGACGTGATCAAAATTGATGTATTGAGAGTTATATATACCCCTGCTATTGGTTTTGTGTGAAATGGAATACATATATACCTAACATTGTGGAAGCAAACAATAGAAAATAGATAAGTACACAGATAGGCTTAGCATTATTAACCAAATTTCACGAACCTTTGATATGTAGTTACTATGAAAAAATTTCCCAAATACATCAATGTTTAAAAAATACATGCAAAAGCTAATGGCAAACAGGAAGTAGATATAACGTGATGGATCCCAGGATGTTTAACACCTTAATGTGACCTACCGAATTAGACTTATCACCGGGTTTGTACTTACATCAGCAACACAATTGGTGCCACATGTGGAGCAGGATCTGCTTACCCTTCCTGATCACTTAAGATCACCCCTAGTTTTGTTTAAAAGGGGTTCATGTTTCTCTTGGTTTAGTTTTTAGTGTTGTCCTTCGTAGTTTTATTTTTTGAATGTCTGTGATGTTTATATCGGTAACAGTCTTGTCTATCCTTTGTCATGAAAAAGTTGTTTCAGTTTCAAAATATCACATTCGGTCAAGTTTCAGGGTTACAAAATTTACAAGACTGTTGGTTTATGAATTTGGTGATGTCTTAGGGATAGGTAAAAGTCAATTACCAATCCGCTATTGCCTAATGCTAAATCATTTCATATAACTTATCAACATATTTTATAGAAGTACCATGACGGTTGTCACATGTGGAGCAGGATCTGCTTATCCTTACGGAGCACCTGAGGTCACCCCCCCCCCCCCCATTTTTGTGGGGTTCAGGTTGCTCAATCTTTAGTTTTCTATGTTGTGTTTTATATACTGTTGGTCTTTTTCTTTTGTTGCAATAGAGTTTTCAGTTGTTTTTTTCGACTTATGAGTTTGAATGTCCCTTTGGTATCTGTCGCCTCTCTTTAGAGCTTAAAAATTTGAAGTTTGGTACCAAAAATCTAAAATGCAACCAATATTTCTGATATTCTTATATGTGCTACAGTGTAAAGAACATACATTACAGTTTGTTCAAATGTCAACTGTTACACCACTGACCACAGTCTATAGCGGTGAGCCCAACAAACATGTTAAATCCTCTCTCTCTGCCTTCTTTATGTGCCTGTCCCAAGCAAGGAGCATGTAGTCCAGTAGTTGGACATTATTGTTTTTCATTTTATTTTAATAGCTTAAATTCTGCCATTCGTTTTCTCTTTTGAATAGTTTCACATTTTGTTATCCTCGGACAATACATGGTACGGGGTTTTGCTCATTTTGATTACATCCTTGTTCTTTGGTCTATGATGCATAGTGCTATTGGCAATCATATCACATCTCCCTGTTTAATACTGTAAATTGGGAAATTTTGGCGTCGGGATATTATGGCGGTTTTCTCTCGAAAGGCATGTGTTTTATTTTGGTGTGTGTAATTTTGGTGCTTCATCCAATAGATGTGTTAAATTTTGGAACGAAATTATTCCGTATCTCGGGGTTCAAAGCTGAAAGAAAATATGAAAATAAAATCTAAAACATTACAATCACTTTTTAAATATTTATTTTTTTACAAATTTTAATCATTATCTCTATTGCAGTACATGTTAATCTATTGACGATTAAGGATCTAAATTTTAATTCTTATGCCTCCGGCAGTACATGTTAATCAATTGAAGATAAAGGATTACAAGGAGTTTTGATATTTTAATTACCAATAACGGCGTCTAATCAACAATATATATGATTTCTTAACAATTTCAGAAAATTGACAATTAAGTAGAAAAAAATATAGTGGTGTTGTCAAATTATACCAGGTATTTATTTGCAGATTTGACTATGTATAGAATTGTAGGAAATATACGGACGATATAATAGCATGAAATATATTTCCCAATAATTAGCATTACGATATTATCATACAGATACGCGATTTCGGTGTTTCAATTTTTAGTGTTAGCTTTATTTTCGTGTGTTTTATTTTGGCACTTTCACTTGAGGCACCAATTAAACCAAAATAAAACTACAACCAAAATAACCCAATTTACGGTATATGAGACAAACATGAAGTAGATAAGTGAGAGATCTAAAAATATGTTGCATGGTATAACTTAGCAAATTAAAGCTTTGTATCAAATATCCAGATGCTCTGATTTATAGTTGCTGAGAAAAATGTGACAAACAGCTTTATATGCATCAACCTGAAGAACATACATGTATGTGGCAAAGAGCAGTAGTTAAGTGATGGATCTTAAAATGTGTCCAACAGTAAAACTTACTAATAAGAACCTTGCTAACAAATAAACAAGAAGATCTATTCTGTAGTTGCTGAGAAAAATGGGTAGAAAATTTTCTTATTTGAGTGCATCAATGTGAATAAAATACTTGTATGAAGCAAACAGGCAGTAGGTAAGTCACAAATTTGTTTTGTAGAAACTGATTAAAATGCGACAGAGATGTGTCACAGATGGAAGGACAACAGAGGTAAACCATGATACCCAACTTCCTTTTGAGGGGTATAAATAAAATAATAAATACTGTAAATTGTGATATTCTTGTGCTAGGGTGATTTTTGTGAACATGTAAAAATATCCCCCAAATAAATGGTATGTACAAATTAACAATATGAGGGTACACTTTAAATTCAATACACTAATTCAACCCAAACACGAAAAGTTTTTGCATTGAAAATCATGAAAATAACAACTTGTAAAAAATATTCAAGTATCAAGTTTACAGTACATATATTATGAATGAGGCCCAAATGAGAGTCCTCTTCTCAAATTTATACAGTGCATTTATAATATGACTGAAAACATTTTAAATAAATTAAAATCACAAACAGCCTTTTTGTTGTCAATTAGAGTTTTTATTTATATCTGAATGTATCAACTGCAACACATGAGCTTTTCATTTCACTCTACATATTTCATCATTTCTTCGGTTCACAGAGATGTAGTCTAATTGTGGATCTTAACCTGTGTACAGTTAATGTCAGAGGTGTTAATGACTTTCTGAAGTTTCCTCATCTTTTTTTACACATCCTCGTCACTGTTTATCTGAATCTCCCTTGGAGGGAAGTGTTGATTCAATATATTGGGCCATCCCCATCATCCTCATCATCATCATCACCATATGTTTCTCCATTGTCAAAGTAGGTCAATATATAATCTGTTTCCTATAGAATAGGTAAGCATAAAAAAGTCAATGTCTTTGTTTTATGAAAGAGTTGATGCATGAATTTAAATTCCTCAGTCCATCAATGTCAAACATATATAAGGAAGTTAAAAAATGGTGGAATTCCTGTGTATTTCTACTGAGTCAAAATAAGAATACATACAACATGATAGTGTGTCTAACACAGATATGTGGCTCCAACCAGGTCAAATCAGAGCTGCCACCTTAAGGGTTTGGTGGGTGACCTTGTAACCTTTAAAAATGTTCATAACCAAGATATCAGATCAAGTTAGACATGTATAGTTCGCTTAAAAGTGACCTGGTGACCTGAAGAAATTTTTAAACATGACCTTGTGATCTAAGGGGGTACCCTCCAGATATATCTTGCCTGTGTACCCTAATCACAAACTTTAATAGTTGTTGATGTTGTTGACACATCATCCACATACACATCCAATTTTATTATATTATTGTGACTACTTCTGCCCTTTAGATTCATGATAAAATTACAATTACTGTAGTTCCGCCCCTCTAATTTTATGGTAAAATCGTAACTATTTCTGATCCCTGTGTTATTATGATAGAGCCTTCAATATAAATGTAATTAACTATGACAAATTTCTTTCCATCTTATACACTGTTAATACCTCTTCTTCCTCGATATCTTCATCAGCATCATCTAGATCCTCCTCTATTTTCTTTTCTGGGTTTGCTCCTTCCTCTTCCTCATCTTCCTCTCTTTCTTTATCTGTCATGGCAGCTTCTTTTTTCTCCAGTTTCTGTCAACAAAATTACAGAAAAATGAAAAAAAACTTCAAAATTTTGCTCTAGTTACCGTCTTTTGATCATAAAAAACTTTCTGTCCTTCAAAAGTTTCTTAAAAATTCCATGAAGGTTTGGCAAAGTTATTGATGTCTAAAAAAATTGTTTATCACAGACTTAACTTACATGTTGAAACTAACAACAGAATGTAGGATCGATATGTCAAAATGTTGCAGGTGTCACACAAGTGGCAACACACATTGATTTTATAGATGTTTCAAGCTATATTCTTCCTTTATATTTTATTTATGAATTCTAAAATACTGATTGTCCATTTGAAATTGATAAAAAGTTAAGAAAATGCTATGAAATTCAGTCCAAACACCAGAAAATTATTTGCATTATCTTGTCTGCTTACTGTTAAGGGACTTAGAAAATCTCATACAAAATTGTTGAATCTAAGTATCAAACTTTAAATTATAAATAATTAACCATAATAAGACAGTATATGTATATTCACCATAGTAATTATTATTGAGTCAAGACAGTGGATACTTAAAAGATATCCTTTATCTTTTGTTTTGTGTTGGAGGCTTCATATTTTAAAATACTTTAAGAACATAAAAAAATAGAGGGTTTGGCACATTAAAAGCTAGCTTAACCTACCACTTTCTCATGGAGAATGTCTGTAACTAAGTCAGAAATGTGAGAAAAAATCATACAAAGATGAAAAATGACTTTTTTCTCTCAAGAAACTGAACCTTAAACATGTTAAACATAGTTGTCAGGATTGTCTGTTTTCTAGTAAGGTATCCTGTGACTCCCTCATGGTTTTTAGTAGGGTAGCTATATAGTTTACCAGTTACCATAGGTATCTTCTATTTATTCATTCAATTTGAAAATAGTTTTTAACTGTAAATTTCTTGCTATGGAATAATTCTGATAATATCTATGTATGAAAAAAGGAGATGTGGGTCATGCTCCATTAAGACAGCAACCCACAATACAATATAACAGGGTTAAACCAAACTGCCCTAAGAGAAAAATTTTCATACTGAACTTGAATTATGGAAAAGGAAATCTGATATTAAGTATTTACATCAAGAAATATGATTATCATGTCCTTACCTCCAAAGTTTTAGTTATTTCTTTTTCTACTGTCTTCAGCTTTTTAGAGGGTGTAATGTTTGGTTTAATAGTTTTACTGCTACCAAACTTATGAACTTTCTTCTCTGCAGGCTTCAATTCATCTGGAAACATTCTCCAATCTGCCAATTCCAATAAAAACATATATATTCAAATGATTTATATAGGTTTGAAACTAAGATCAATGACCATTAATGCACTTTTTTTTTTAAAGCATAAGACATCATTGTGAGTTAAATATTTTTATTCATAACTGTAATAGTTATCCAAAAACCTGTTCAACATCTTGTCACTTGCATGCTTCACTTTAATACAGTTCAAGTTTGGTCCACTGATAAGCAAGTGTTTCATGGATTCTTGCTTTTATTGCGCTTTTATTTCTTGTTTCACCTCTCTTTTGCTATTCTTGAGTGGTAATTTTGGATTTGTGAGAGAAAAAAACAATTTATGAGTAAAACAAAACTTTTTAAATTTTCATCAAACTCATTTAGTAATTTTTACATTAAATGTAACTTTTAAGGTCAATATTGTTTCAAGAGTTATGATTTATAAAAATAATAAAACAGCGACTTCCTGAAGAATTCCTGATATGGGTTCATCATGTTTCTGTGGTTATGTGCTTGAAAGTGATTATTATTTTAGATCACAAAGTATGAGAGACATTCAAGTTTGGTGCACTGATATGCAAGTTTTCAATGGATTCTTGATTTTATTGCTGTTATGTTTCTTGTTCTGTATAATATTTCCCATAACATTCATAACCCGAATAATTCAGTCGTTATATTCCACTGCTCTACGATTGCTACATTAATGCCTGAAGATCTTGTCAATAAAAAATCGTCAAATAATCATTTGGAATTGGCTTGGGATATATATATCTTGCTAACATTGAGCTATTAGCTGATTGGCTCTCTCTCACAGAGAGCACCAATCAAAATCCTGGATTCGTGATGCGTTTTTATTGTATAAAGAATTCAGGCACTCGCGAGTGGGAGAGTCGATCACGAGGAGGGACTGAATTATTCGGGTTATAACATTCATAAATATTTTTACCTGGATTCCATTGTCCCAATGTGTCTTGTCCTGATTGATATTTATCTGAATATCTATCAATATCTTTCCTTTTTTCCCTGGATTGTATGTAATAAGGGGACTTCTTCATAAAACCTATGAACTCTTTCTTCAATGCACAAATATATTCATAGTCTTCACTTTGTTTCAGTGGAACTGGTTTGAATTCTTGTGGCTAAAATACAGAGAAATAATGAAAAAAAAATCAATTCATATACATGGTACTAAGAGTAACTTGATAATTTATAATTAGCGATAAAAAATAACAATACACCTCCTCTAATTTCTACACTATCTGAAAAATCCTCAATGATGATATTCAAGTTTGTTTATGAGATGAAGTATATATTTTTGTGTTGTTGGGTTGCTGTGAGAAGTGTCTACAATAATTTATTTTTGAAATTTTGTTATTAGTGTCCATATCATTCCTCTTTACACATTAATTCTACGATCTACATTAAGGAATTGTGTGCATCTGCATGCACAGTGATACCATTTGAAATAGCTTAATTTCTAGACTTTAAACAGGCAAAAAAAATAAAACAGAGCCAAATCTGGGGTTAAAAACCATGTGATAAATGTATTTTGGAAAAAAGTTTTTTAATTTATCAAATTACAATATGTGTTGATTCTTAAAACACAGATCTGGTTCAGTTATTATTTGGAATGACAGTTAGCAATAAAAAATCTGAAGCTACAATGTACATGTATGAAAGAAATCATTAAATGAAATAAAACCCCTTCTTCTATTAGAAGTCTTAGTATCCTGCTCTGCATCTCAGTCAACCCATTATGCATATTCTGCCTAGCTGATCTGTTGTTTAATTATTTCTTGTACTAAAAATAAATCTTAATTTATATAGTTGGTACATGTACTTGTCTTTCTCTTATTTTCTTATAATGGCGAATGGGTGTCAAAAACAAACAATGATCAATCAATCAAACATTTTTAAAATGTATTGGCAAAAATGTAGGTTTCTTAATTGTCTGTCTTGTAATATCAGTCAGGGGTAATACTTATACAAGTGTTTTTATATTTACTGGTACAGGTAATTTATTTTGGAGGTAGAATTATATCCCTTTGACGTTCAGATTTTTAAAAACTTACATTAATAAAAAAATGATTTTTCTTCTTTTCTTGAATTTATTTCGACAGCATTGCTCTAACATGTTTAATAGAGTGTTTAATAGACAAAATCAATATTTTCATATTATCGACTTTTGACTCTGGAAAATTAAATTTTTCGACAGGTTAACTACTCTGTGGTAGCTATATATAGGACATTCTGGTACATAAAAACCATAAAAATTCACAGGGTTTTTATTTACCAGATACAGACAAAAAGATAACTTTGAGCCAGATAAAAAATCTATTTTTTTTTAGTGAAAAGGTGCTTCAACTGCAATAGATTAGGTTGTATTGTGAACATGAAATATTTGCCACTGGTCTTATATCAATCTATTTCATCATCACTTAGATAATTTTTCAATGACATCCATGCTTCCTAATTTCTATTTACCGGGAAGAGCGGTGGCGGTTGAAGAACCGGTCCTGAAAGTACTTCTCCCTTGTTGATTCCCAAAGCTTCTACGTTGAAGGATACATTTCTTCCTCTACCCCTGCCTCGGCCTGCCATTGGCCTTGTCAAGAATAAAATTGTTGACTGGTGGAAGCGGCCATCTTTCGGGAGAATTCCAAACACGCAATGTCGGAATTTATATTTTATTTAAAAAATGAGGAATATATTTAGTTAAACAACAGCAATCAATCAAATTTCAAAAGTATTATTTCTTAAAGTATCAAAACTCAAACATTTGCAGTCATAGTTTTTAAATATCTTTTTATATGTTTTTTTTTTCTGTGAACAAAACGGTTTCTCCCTGTAACCTTGACCTTAAAATGTCAACAATCGTTGAGATGGAAGACTAGTAGAATTCTTATATAAAGCTGTTTAATGTTGAATATTCTCTCTGCAAATCACAACATTTCGTTATATGCGATAGCGCTTAAGTACTTGGACTTGTATTAAACACTACTGTTTGAATACTTACCCATTGGCGATAAAGTTTATGCAAAGTAACATTTTTAATAGATAGCAATCCATTGAAATTTAATATCAACAAATATGTCGGCATCAATAAGACTTTGCAGTAGCCCTGTACGTCATATGGTTGCTTCTACCTTTAGAAGAAACATTGGTAAGTATTTTCCAAACTGTTATGAGGTAGATGTCAATGATGAAAAGTGAGGGAAATGTATCAACAACATGGGGAAAAAATGCAATTTTCAACTATTATTATTTTAACATTTATAGGCATAATTCTATTAAAAGCACACCCAGTCATGAATAAATGACTGATTATTTCTTGATTGTAGATATCTAGTAAAGGTCAATGGTGGCAGCACTTTAACTACACCATATACTACTAATATAATCAGTCTGGGCATGCTGGAGACACCGATATATGCTTCTTCGAATATACAGTATCAGCTTTATATGATTGAAGATTATGAACTGTTGCATGCAGAATATGTGATTAAAAATATTTAAATATAGATACACATCAAAGGAATTTTTTTTTTTTTTATTCCTACTGGTATCTTTCTGTTAAAGTAATTAGATGACGTAATGCTTGGTGATAAGGGTGCAAAGATTTTTCTGGAAGTTGGGATTGGGCCTTTATTCTTGCGGGAATTCAGGATTTACACTTAGCAGGACTTTGGATGGGGAATTGATGATTTTTTTTTGAAATCAGGAGATACTGCTTTATTTTTTCAGAAATTCTGGATTCAGCATTAATTTTTCTGTAAGTCGGGATGGCACCCCCTCCGACCCCTCTTTTAGGACATTTGTGGCTTTAATGGGCTTAAAATCTGTGTTAGTATATTGAGAAAGGGGATCAAATATCTTGATTTGGATGATTTTCCTATATACAATTGCAGCAGCTGAGATAAATGTGATGAATGATAAAATTGATATATTTGTCAGAGCTAAATCATCTATCGTAATATACAAAGCAGAAACACAACCATACTGTTTAATGTTTACTTCATATATATTTCTGAATGCTAAGGCTACGTCCCGCACTGACGTCAACCCTAGATACATAGGTAAAACGCGACGTCCACCATAAATGTCGGGGCTACATGTAAATCAACTATCATAAAAAAGACAGCAGAAATTTAACACAACCATACTGTTTAATGTACATGTATACATCATATATATTTCTTCAATTTCTCCGTCTGCAATATAATCCTTTGGTTACGGCACCATAAATGTCGGGGCTAAATCATATATCGTAATATAGAAAGCAGAAACACAACCATACTGTTTAACGTTTACTTCATATATATTTCTGAATGCTAAGGCTATGTCCCGCACTGACATCAACCCTAGATACAATAGGTAAAACGCGACATTGTGACTCCCGCAGTATTCTCAACAATATTTATGTAAGTTAGTAGGATTCAATATTGTACATAAGAATACAGACAAGTGCTTGAAAAAAATGGTGAGCGAGCACATTGACCTTGTTAGTTCAAGGATGCAGGGATCCAGTTTGCCCATTTAACATTTTAATGGAAATTGAGACAGAAGCTCAATAACAGAAGATTATAAAAGTAAAATACTGCTGGTCACAGACTGCTTCTACCAAGGAAGAACCAGTACAGATGCGTAGGGCCAATCTTTCTTTGCAAGGACCATCAGGAATTGGAATCTACCTGTTTCTACCAAAATCAGTATCATAGTCCAACACAGTTTAGGGATTCAGAGCTGCCTTGAAAGCAGGCTCTGAAATGAACTAGGCAACATCAAAATGTTTATAGTTTTAATTGTAAAACATTGCAATGTTTTTAAATGTTAATAGCCAAGAGACAACTTTCTGTGTTGCTGAACAGTTGTTTTATGTTTTTATTTACAGTTTGTGTGCAGAGGATATCTGATGTAAGAATTTTCAAAGTATGGCAACAAAAAAGTGCTGCACCAAGCAGTTACAGATTCATGTGTACTGGCAAAGATGGAGGAGGGGGAGAAGAAGGAGGTGGAGGAGGAGGAAAAAGTGGCAAACCACCTGGTGACATTAAATCTTTTAAGTGCCATAAATGTGGCCATGAAAACAAATATGATTTAGCTGGTAAAGGTAAGTTAATTATTCTATCCCAACCTTAAATGTCTGTTTACTGTTTACTCTGTCTTTGAATGACCTTTTCGTGAAATTTAGAATTGTAAATGACCAGTGTAGCTTTGCATTTATATGCAGACTTTTTTTGAATATTTTGTCATCAAACATGTCTTGGATACTAAGAAAATCAATACAAAAATTAGGACACTTAAACTGTATTCAACATTTATGGTTAATTTGTGAATACAGGTCTATTTATGAAATGAGAAGCGAAAGTAAAATCATATTAGTCAGCAAGGGATCTTTGATTATAAGATTCATACGAAAGTTCTGGAATTTTGGACTTCTTTGACACAAGCTATTCTAGTGTTTATGTTAATTAAGGATTTTGATTGAAGTGACTCTGCTATAAAATGAGTGAGAGAATTGTGACTTTCTTTATGAAAAGATGGTTTACATTTTGTCATGTCAGGGAGTTTTATAGCTTACTATGTGGTATGGGTTTGGAACATTTTTTAAGGGCTTATGGTGACCTATAGTTGTTAAACATCTGTGTCATTTGGTCTCTGGTGGATAGTTGTCTCATTAGCAATCTCCTTTGATATCTTATATTCTTATATTTGAAATGTGAATTAATATTGAATTTGTATTTTAGTACTATTTAAATTGTAATATAAACATAGTCCAGTAATAGTTCAGATACTTGTTGAGATCAATAATAGCATAAAACCTGTTTTAGAAGCTGCAGATTTTATTTTGAAACCATGATATGTTAAAACATAGACATACATGTACATGTATGTATGTACAAATTTGAAAATGCATAATTATCAATATATACAAAGTAAAATTGAGAATGGAAATAAGGAATGTGTCAAAGAGACAACAACCCAACCATGGAGCAGACAACAGCCGAAGGCCACCAATGGGTCTTCAATGCAGCGAGAAACTCCTGCACCCGAATGCGTCCTTCAGCTGGCCCCTAAACAAATATGTATACTAGTTCAGTAAAACAGACTACTAGCAGTTACTGACATGCCAGCTCCAGACCTCAATTAAACTGATTAAAAGATTATGTCTTCATCATATGAAGGTTTATTTAACAGTAGTCATATGACTTAAAATGTACTGTATTTGCTAAGTACAAATGTAAGAAATCCGAAATTTATTATTTACTGAATATATTAATGTTGTAGACAGAATTCAAGCTATATTTCAATTATATATTTGTTCTGGGACATATTGGGCCTCCTCGTAGTCTTTATGGCAGATTACAAGAATAAAAATTATAATGGATCTCAATTGCCATTGGTATGTGGCTTTTGAAAACAATGTATTTAAAGTGGAACCCTTTGTCTGTTTACAGAAAACAATGTATTTAATGTGGAACCCTTTGTCTGTTTACAGAAAACAATGTATTTAATGTGGAAACCTTTGTCTGTTTACAGAAAACAATGTATTTAATGTGGAAACCTTTGTCTGTTTACAGAAAACAATGTATTTATTGTGGAAACCTTTGTCTGTTTACAAAAAACAATGTATTTAATGTGGAAACCTTTCTCTGTTTACAGAAAACAATGTATTTAATGTGGAAACCTTTCTCTGTTTACAGAAAACAATGTATTTAATGTGGAAACCTTTCTCTGTTTACAGAAAAGAAATTTTCGGTATTGGTTTGCCAGAATGAGGACTGTAAAGCCAGCATCATAGTAGAACCAATTAGTTCTCCAGAACCACCAAAACCACCTAAACCAGAAATCACTGTCAACTATAAGCCTGAAGATGTAAGATATACATGTATAGAGACGAACATTCTTATAAAAAATATTGTTTTGACTTGGATATAATGAGTAAAAATTGTATTCTGGTTATAAATGTTATAGTGAGTTGATAGATGGCCAATTAGTATGAAAAGAATTAATTGTTACTGGTCATTTAAAAAAACACTAGATGAAGGTTATCATTGGTAACCATGGTAACAGATATAAGTCATACAAACCTACTTTGTTCAACAACAAAAACAAAGAATTTAAAAATCCTGATTAATTACAACAGATTAAAATCCCCCTGACTGACTTGAAAGTACTGTGTGTGTTAATTGTGTCTGGTTCTTGAGAAGGGTTTTATGTTTCAAAAGCATACTAGTTATATTTCCATGGTCTTAAAAAAATCTGATGACACTGTGTCCCTTTTATACCAAAGCATGATCCAGTAACAACTTACAATACTAAGGTAGAAATCAGTTTGTAATAACTGAAAAATGTTTATGTTATTTAATAGATTCATAAGTTTTTGGACCAGCATGTAATAGGACAAAAGAAATGCAAGAAATATCTTGCTACACAAGTGTACCAACATGCCAGAAAGATTCAGAAGATAATGAGTGAGCAACAACAGAAAACTTCACAGGTTGAAACTGATGTAAAAATGAAGGATTTTGAATTGCAGTTCAGAGGTATTGTACATTTGCTTGTACTGATGAGTCTTTAGTGGACGAAACATGCTTCTGGCGATCAAAATTATAAGCTTACAAAACATGCTTCTGGTGATCAAAATTATAAGCTTACAAAACATGCTTCTGGTGATCAAAATTATAAGCTTAAAAAACATGCTTCTGGCGATCAAAGCTTACAAAACATGCTTCTGGCAATCAAAGCTTACAAAACATGCTTCTGGCGATCAAAATTATAAGCTTACAAAACATGCTTCTGGCCATCAAAATTATAAGCTTACAAAACATGCTTCTGGCGATCAAAGCTTACAAAACATGATTCTGGCGATCAAAATTATAAGCTTACAAAACATGCTTCTGGCGATCAAAATTATAAGCTTACAAAACATGCTTCTGGCGATCAAAATTATAAGCTTACAAAACATGCTTCTGGCAATCAAAATTGTAAGCTTGGTATATGTGATGAGTTTCTTTTATATTTCAATGCAACTGCACTATGTACATGATGTAAAAGGGGATAAATAATTTGTACCTACAAGATTATGATAAGCAATATTTCTTTACAGGATTTTAAAACTGAGTTGCATGCTCACTTTTTAATTAGAAATTCATCAGCTGCAGCAGATAAAAAAAATAATATATTATATTCATTAGGAAATTGAAATAATTCTCATGTACTTTCAGAAGCAAATAAGTAAAAGGTTAATACTGATTTACATGTACATTTTGTATAAGGAATACAATTTCATTTGCACAATGTTACAGAGATATTGCTATCACTTGGCACCTGTCATCTTGTTTCACCATCTTATCAGTCACAGCCATTTACTTTAAAAACATATTTTTAAGAAAAAATTTTAAAAGTTAAACAAAACTGTCTGAGACATTTTTCTTGAATATGCAAATACACATATTTTGATGATATTGCATTTAAAATATCTCAAACAGCTAACTTTCATGACTTTCTTTTATTACTATGTGTTATATTTTGTGTTATCAAATACACTAGACAAACTTAATTTACCATATTGTTAGGCATATACAAACTGGGAGACTGAGATTGTGAAATTTTTTTCAGTTTTTAGGTGTTTTTTTTTCAATTGGTGGTTGGGTTGCTGCCTCATTGATTTATACCCCAAATTTCTAGTTTGGAGGTGTGAACACTAGGATTCTTCTATATATTTTGTCCAGATTGTTATTTTAGACTAAAGGTCAAGTGAAGGTGAAGATATGTTAACTTAACTAATAGTGACAAGGTTATAACAGGATTTATATTGTTTTTGTTTCAGCATTCCTAGGAAATTCAGGAAAGGTGGTCCCTTTCCAGACTCAGTATCAAGGTAAAACAACTTTTGTCAATGTTTGGTTGTGGATTGAATACCTGTAGTTCGTTTTTAACAAATTTTGAAATAACTAGCCAGATTTTATAACTTTTGATTATACAAATTACTTCCGCAAATCTACTTTTTCCCTAAGAAGTTAATAAATGCAATGCTAATTATATTTGCTCAAAGAGACAGAAAACCTTACTTGGTGGAATTTTTACTTTTTAAAGGATTGCTTGTATGAAAATCAATTGTAATCAGATATGATGCAAATTTTAAATGTTCTTTGTCAAAATATGATAATTTGCAAATAAACAAAATAAATTACCTAAAAAGAATTAGCAGCAAATCAGATCTTATATAAATTAATCATTGATGTTATATATCTATAATTAATTTTTGGCATCTTGACTTCTTGCAGTTGTAACAAGGGTTTGATATTTGTTCCTCCCTTCGAAATTCTTCATGTCTAGTTGAGGATGATAAGCAATCAACAATCAATCAATCATGTCCAGTTGAAATTTGTACTATCAATGTTGTAAAATTTCATTCATTTAGCTCTGAAATATTTTTTTTTTAAATTGATTGGAGATGTTTCCTTTTATTTCTGTCATTGTGTAATGACAAATTATTTCATTCCTGTTGATATCATTTTGATGGGTATTCATTCCAATGAAGTATAAAACTGTGGTCATACATTTCCTTTTTGTTGTGCTGTTCATTTGAGGGATACAGACTCTTTGGATTCTGTAGAGCAAGATGTATCTGTCTTCTTCTGTCTTGTCTATGACGGAGCAAATTGATATGTACATGTACTGAGTGAGTACATGTATGAATTTATTGTCTTTTTGTCTTTGAACAGGCGTGGATTCAGACAGGGTGCACTAGCACCTTCCCCACTAAATAAAGAAAAACAAATGTAACTTATAGGTAAAATTACAACCATTTTTTGTCAAAATATTGTCTTCAACTCCTTATTCTCATGAGCACTCCCCCTAACATTAAATCCTGGATCCATGCCTGGTGAATGTGACTTCTACCATACATTATGTCATTTTCTTTTTCATCATATTTATTTCAATCTTTTCATTTTTCTTTTTACTCTATATCATGCTCATTTCTTCTATTTCTAGGGAGAGGAAAGTCTGAAAAGTTTTCGAAACGAGAGAAAAAATTACTTGCACAAAAACTGAGTACGACTGATACTTCTGTTATTGCAATTTATCATTATCTAGGTTTATTATTTACTTTCATTTGTCATTCTTAAAACTAATCTGTTACATACTGAACCACCATAACTTCATATTACTTAATTTAAATGAAGTAGTCTTATCTAGTTTATAAAGATGCATAGATTTTCCACTTTCTTCATTGGAGGCTTATGTTGTTTTCTCGAGGATGTTGTTTAAAAAATCTCCTTTGATAGTGCAGCAATCTATATTTTCATAACCCAGATTTATATTTTATTCGCTCCTTTAAAACAAAAATCTGTATTCTTATGAAATATGGCAGAAAAATATCTCAAAAACATGCACATAATTATAATGGACAAATACATGATTATTTATCAAAATACATGAATATTTATCAAAATACATGACTATTTATCCAAATACAGGATTATTTATCACCCCAGCATTAAGTCCTACTTGAAAAGTAATTAAATGAGAGGGAAGTCATTATAATTTAGTCAAAACTTACAGATTAGTTTTAATGAAGCAAATAAGCTTGATATAATATCTGAGTTTTAAAAACATCCTTATAAAACTTAAAATTTACTTCTATGTTTATCATGTATTAAAGTTTCACTATTATATAGTAGAGAAATGGTTTACATTTTCAGTGTTTCACAAGTTCTTTACAGTAATGTCAGATTGTAAGACTCTCATAAATCACTTTAAAGATTTTTTCGATTTTTTTCTGTAATTACACTTCTTAATTTTTCTTCACATTTTTTTTCTCATTTCTGATCATGATTCCATCTTTACATTCTTTCTGATATCTTCATATACAGACTCATTGATTCTAATACCAGGGACAACAACCACTTCATCTAAGCTCATCACCAGATACGAGGATAAAAGTATGAACACTTTTATTTATTACAGTTCTCTTTTCTAACTTTCTCTCTCCTCTCTTTCACATCATGCAAATTGTTCTAACTTTCTCCCTCATCTTGGACATTGTTTTAGATATATGTATGCAGTATGAAATATGGGATCTGATATTTATTCTTCTTTCCAACTAGTTACAATATTTCTAAAATATTTGAACTTTTAAATGTCATTCCAGATGGGCATTTACTGTAGCTTATCAAGCCATAATTTTAACTCTTGTATTCTAACATTCAGAAATATATGTACATGTAATGCTATTTTTGTCTTTTGTGTCTGCATATTTTGAGGTGATTTGTGGTATGCTTTACATAATAATGAAATAAAATAATCCTTCCAAATTAGATACTTTTGAAGAAATCACACCATGTGGACATAGAAAACTTTATATGCCATTGGAATTGTCAGGATTCTTTTTGTCTTTCTTGCAGTTCTAGTTGTCAATTTTTGGGTATTAAATGAATTACAGACAGGGTATACATTCATTCAAGTTATACATATTTAACAAAACTATTGCCTAATGTACGAAAGAAGGTTTCATTAAAATTATAATTGTCTACACTTTTCTGTTGTATCTGCAGATATTGAGCTGAATTTTGTATGAAGTTAATTCTGTTTATAGAATTAATGCAATTGTCTACATCTTATATTTTGAGCTGTCAATGAATTCTCTTGATTGAATTATTGCCGTTGTCCATTTCTTATATTTGGAACTGACAGGGACATAATTTTATATGCCACACTAATGCATTAAATTCTCATCTATCAGTCCGAACTTTGCAGAAGGAAAAAAAATTAACACTATTACTTTCATCAATCTTTTCATTATTATTCTTTCGAAATGAGAGATGTAGTAAAACCATATTTTTAGTAGCCTAAAGATTATATGTAGCTAAGCTAAATAAAGTCTGTTCTGTTCACAGAAAATGTCTTAGAGTTAGCCATTCCTAAAATGAAATTTAAATCAGGTCATGACAAAAAGTGAAAAAATTCAAACAAAAAACCGACAATCTGATTTATGACAAAACAATTCACAAAAAACAAATATGACACCGTTATTAGATGTTATCAGATCGTACACGAGTGACAAATTAATCTCACAAAGCAAAGTGAAAGATCTGGTTTTAATCAGTTTGACAGAATATGCGCATATTTCAAGTTACCAAAACCTTATAATGAATTACAAGATTTTAAACAGCTCTTTTGATAAATTTAACTTAAGAGTATGCTGCAGTAATAGTAGTCACACACAATGATGTAAGGAAATATTTTACTGAAAATACCGTATACACACAGTTTTTGTTATGTTTCGAATCATTTTCCTTATCAAATTCCTTTGTTTCTTACAGAAGCTCTTCAGACAAGTCCACTTGGTTTAGGAACCACTCCACAGCAGCAACAACCATATCCAAAAATAGATATCATTGAAACAAATAAAGAAGTAGAAACATTCATTAGAAAGAGTAATATGTTCCTGATAGGTCCAACAGGAACAGGTAAGTAAAATATACTTAGTTATTTACTTCTAAAGTTAAAAAAATATTTTTCTTTCAGCATTTCCCTATTGATATTACAGTATCAATTTTTTGTATCTTTACTATCTCTTTACTAGTAAATGTTACACGGTGCAGAAATATATATCGCATTGTTTCTACTGATTTCCTAATCTTAGAATTTCTCCAGTTAAATGTAATAACATTTAGATACTTGCAGAATAGGTCTGCCAGATATATATAGCAAACTTTGGCCTAGCTATATTGGATATTCCGATTGTTGTGGTGTGAAAATTTAGATAATTAAGGCTGTGTTTTCTTTTTTAACCTATATCAAATGTCTGAATGTTGATTCTAATTTGGTCAATGCATCATAACTGTTATTTGCCTGACAGGTATAAATATAATCTTACTGATGAGATTTGAAAATTGAAGTTCTGAAATGACCTGCTTTAAATATGCAAAACATATTTCAATTTGACATCTCAATGTAACCAGTATAAATTTAAGTCATGTAATATTTTGGTCTTTCAGGTAAAACACTTCAAGTAGAAACCCTAGCTAAATGTCTGAATCTTCCGTTTGCGAAATGGGACTGTACAAATCTGACATCAGCTGGGTATGTTGGTGAAGACGTAGAATCTGTGATAGAGTTGTTGTATCATAATGCTGGACAGGATGTACAAAAATGTCAAACTGGTAAGTGTTGTCTCCCTTTGTTTAGTAGACAATAAAAGATATGGGCAAAATGTGACAATGTCTTGTACACATGGCTAGAGGACAGAATGATAATTTTCTGTAAGATCTAAACCAGTTAAAGAATCTTTACACCAGAAAGCTAGTACTATTAAAGGATATTTACACCAGAGAGCTAGTAAAGTATCTACACCAGAGAGCTAGTAATTTATCTACACCAGAGAGCTAGTAATTTATCTACACCAGAGAGTTAGTACATCATGATTTATCTCTACAGTTATTCCACAGGGGATTGGACTGTGACCTCTAGGACAGAGGTAAAGGAGTATATACCTTAAGTCTTTGGTTCGATCACTTCTGATAAGGTTGTTATTTCGGAAAAGAAATATCATACTGTACTGTTACAATACCAAAACACATAATTTAGATTGAGTACAAACTGTTGTCTGAACTAAAAAGTACATACACATTCAAACATATGTTAACAGTGAGGATATGGAATTGCAATAGTTCATATATTTATTTAAGAGTTGAATGTTACTTTTGTAATTTTATTGGGGTGTAAAAGTGCTGACCGAAGCACATTTTGTATATTTCTGCGCTTCATTTTAAAATTGTGCACATAATCAAGGGTTTTACAACCCTATTAGATTATAAAAAGAAGTGTTAAGTTCTTATAATTATATTTTTATGCTACAACTATGAAATTAAGAGTTGTATCAAGCGTTTCGTTTGTTTTTTAATGCATTATTCAACATTGTCACGAATAGCATGTGCAGTCAGCTGTTGTATTTTATAGTACACAAATAAAATAGGATCTTGCAGGGCCTCACGATTGTTGTCAGCAAATCAAAACTACAATTCTAATGAAACATACATATAATGTTATTATTTTAAATTAGATATGTGGGTAAATATCAAGTAGACATGGAAAACACTGACAAGATTTCTAACTTGGGACATGCACACAATAACTGTGGTAGGATAATCTGATTAAAGTAGATTTTCTTGCACTCAAACCCATTCCTGCCTACTCTATCATTCTTTGATCTTAATCAGTAAAGGGCTAGTCAAAACATACATGGGACCCAGGGAAGACATATGATTTTTATAAATATAAAGTACAGATGGGTGTCAAGTGAAATTCTTAATTTGCCTCAATAGGTGGTTTCCCCATTTTGAAATTACTTCCCTTGGTACCATGTATGTTTACATGCAACAGCCCTTTTACTGTTTTGACACTTACTACCTTTAAATGAGTTTTAATGATGCACAAATAAATGAAAAACTTTTATCAGCTGACTAATTCTAAGACAACATCAGGCAATCAATCAGTATATATATATATATATATATATATATATTGGTGTACAAATTTTTGCACCTCATGTTTGCGGTATACCATCTTTTCCGCAAATTTATTGTTTTCTGTTTGGTAATAAATCAATAATAAGATCCATTTTGTTACATCTGGTGATCCGTTTATTTGGCAATCGCCAATGGCAGTCAGCAGGGTTTAAGAACATCAGTTGTTCGACCTGCTAGTCAAATGCGTTTTGTTAAAATATACTTTTTCACTTTTTTGGTCTTTTGGAAAATGTTGTTTGTGCTGTATTTAGACCCCTCTACCAAGAGATTTGTTTTGCATGCACATGTATAAAAATTGCGGTTTTTATCCAACGCAATCATAGGTTTGAACGTTGTTTTCAATTTAGATTTGTTTATATATATATATATAATAAAGGATTAAATTTCTTTTAGGTATTGTGTATTTGGATGAAGTTGATAAGCTGAGGAAGACAGCAGGTTTAAATGTTAGAGATGTAGGCGGAGAAGGGGTACAACAGAGTCTGCTTAAAATATTGGAGGGTAGTGTTGTTAATATTCCACAAGATAGAGGATCCAATAAACGGTTAAAAGACAAAGAAACTGTTCAGATAGATACTACCAACATTTTGTTTATATTATCTGGAGCCTTTACTGGAATAGAGGAAATAGTTCGGAGACGAGTTACTAAAGATGTAAGTCATAAGTCAGTTCTCAATTGGAGTCAAACTGTAAATGGAAATAACTCAATTTAGAGCAGTTCATGATTCATAAAGGTTGAGTCTTAGGGAGCAATATACATGTCATATATGTGCATACTTATGTAATCAGTATCTTTCATTAATTTGATTTACAGTAGTAAAAATGGGTAAATATAATTTTTTAGGTGTATCCATGGCAACAATCTACATTTATTTCCTATAAAATATTGCAAAAAGGGGTGCAAAGATGTCACATATTTCCCCAAAATTTGACCAAAAGTAGAATTTCAATCCCTTACAGTGATACCTTTTCTGAAACTATTTACATGTATCTATCAAAAAATCAAATAAATATTAAATGTCTTTTGTCTCATTTTTTCATAAAATTGTTCAAAAAGTTTATTGGTAATCATTACAATAATTTCTGGCCCTTTGACCTGTCTGGATATGAGAATACAGACAGTCAAACATAAAATAGCCCATAAAACATGTAAAAAAACAATCTTAATGTTCATATAAACCCACTTTAAAGGCCTAATTAGTCATCAGCTGTCTAAAAATCTATTGCACAATAACTTTCATATTTGAAAAATCCCCCGGCCTAAAATGCGAAACCACAATCCCAACTTTGTATCGCTACCTTACGAGATAAAAAGAGATTTGGTCTCAACTTTCTTAGTATATGTAATACAAACATTGAATGCAAGATCAATTTCAAATTTTAGGTCATTTGAAAATGCATGTAAATTGAAAGGTTATCTTGAGAATTAATAAAACCTTTAAAGCTTATTAACAGTTGGTTACAAGAAGGTTACAATCAATCATAAATGTACACACATAACAATAAACAGGGGATTTTCAGTTGTTAAGCCAAAGCTGACAATTTTTATTCCAGTATATTAATTATTTTGTAATACATAATTCTACATTTCAGTCTAGCTTTGGTCTTGGTGCAGCAAAAGTTACAAGTGAAACAGAACTAAATGCACAGAAAAATAAATCAATCATTAGCAAAGCAGAATTAGAATTTCAAGAGAGAAACAGTTTACGTGAAAAATTAGAAGAAAAAGATATCATAGACTATGGATTCTTACCAGAATTTGTGGGACGTGTAGCAATCATTGCAACAGTCCAAGATCTGACTGTAGAGGATTTAATAAGAATATTAACAGAACCCAAGAGTTCTATTGTAGCTCAGTATAAACAGATGTTTGCATTAGATGATGTAAGTAGCCTGTATATTGTAGGACCCTTAAAACACAAACTAGCCACTCAAAACTAATCTTTGCAAAATACATTTGTTTTTTACATTTTTTGTTTTGTACATAAATCAGGCCCTTAGTTTTTCTCGTTTGAATTGTTTAACATTTGTCATTTCGGGCCTTTTATAGCTGACTATGCAGTATGGGTTTTGCTCATTGTTGAAGGTGGTATGGTGACCTATAGTTGTTAACTTCTATGTCATTTGGTCTCTGGTTGAGAGTTGTCTCATTGGCAATTATACTACATCTTTTTATTTTTGTATTGACCAAGATATAATGTATGAAATTTCACATAAAATATTGGTCATTGTTTATTCTGCTAAACAAATGTGGGAGTGGACTTGCCACAGTATTTTTCTATGAAAACACACATTTTAAGCTACATCTGTGTGTGTATGTTCAGTAGGTTGTTGGGCTGTCTGTCTGTTATATTAACTTTTAAGCATTTTTGCATTGTAAATTTTGTTTAAAAATGCAAGGGGGGGGGGGAATTCTTCTGAAATTAACAACCTAAATGATAAGTTAATAGAGCAACGAGTTCAATCTCTAAGGTATAGTATTTTTTGTTTGCAATACACAAACATTTATTAGAACCTAACTTCGTTGAAAATGTTTTTGCTTGGTAAAATTATATAAATCGTTTAATAAGAAATTGTCTTATTACAGTGTGATCTTGAAATAGAAGCAGGTGGCTTAAAGGCAATAGCAGAGAAAGCTTTTGAAAAGAAAGTTGGTGCCAGAGGATTGAGAGCTATTATGGTAAGTGAATTGATTTGAAATAGAAGTGATTTTTTTTTTATTTATCAGAATACACTTAGAACATATTAAAAGAAAAAGAAGTCTGATTAAAAAAACTTTTAATCTAATAAGGACCATTGCTAGAAGGAAAAGACAAAAAGACATGCAAAAAAAAAACCAAACATATCAACCCCCTTCAAAATCATGGATGGAAGTAGTCGTTTCCATTGTTTTGGGTATTCAGCTGAATTGTCTCCGAATGACCCTAGATCTGTCTTTGAATTACATACTGACATCATAAAACATTCGCTTCTCAATTATGATGTAAAATGTTTAAATGTGATGCACTATTTTGCAGGAACTTGAGTGGTTTAAATGAAATTGCAGACAAATTTGCATACAAGTGTAAATACATCCATCCCAGCTCCTCTTTTCTTTTGTTGTTTTGTTTATGACTTGCTGAAATTTGTTCATAATATGTATTCAGTTTGAAATTAAGACCAAGCAAATGATGTCATAAAATTCTAATACCAATATAAATTTGATTTGAATTATACACAAAGTGTTTATGTTTTAATGTCTAATTCATATTTAGCAAAAAAATAGACACATTTAAGAAAATGGACCTTTGGAAAGATTCTCTTGTAATTTTATGTTAAAAAAGGTAACATTTCTTAGTAAAAAAATGTATATCATAGCTAATGCAATTCCTCAAGGGTTTAAAAGTTTGTATCTATTTTTAAAACGAATAAACATTTCAACTGAAATTCAGTCTATGAATCTATTTAAGTCCAATTCAATGCAGGTCCATAGCTAGGATAGAAGGTCTGTTGACAACTTGACAAATTTGTACTGATAACTGATCATATGTTTCTTTCCTTTCAGGAGTCACTATTTTTAGATATTATGTACCACCTTCCAGATTTAAAATCCGTGATAATTACTGAAGACTTTGTGAGAGGGAAAGCTGACGCTATCATTGTTAAGAAGCCTGATGAAGCAGTTGAAGTGTATGGATAACTCACAGATATAATAAGAGATCATGTATTCATTATGTGTATAACAACATTTTCAGGGAAATTTTATAATTTTATTAGGACTAAATAAATTTGAAATGATATTGTAAAGAGACATTATCTCATCTTAAATTTGCTAACAAAGTTTTGCATCAAATGAAAACATGTCATAAGGCTGTGATAAATATGTTTCATAAGTATTCTTTTCAATTTATTTAGAAGAAATATTTTCACTGAAGAAAATTGATATAAAAAAGTTCGAATAAATATATAGGTAAGCTTTAATGTTTTTAGTTGATACTCCCTTTATAATCAAGATATAAGAAAAATTTAAATTTGCAAATAAAGTGAGATAATTACAATAGATTATTTCTCTCTATGTTTGATTTTTTTTAAACAAGAAAGAAAATGGTTAAATTGTAGAACTAAAATTTATCTAGAATCAAAGAAATGCCATGGCTTTATAATTAAAAAAAAGAATCGCGATTTCTATATTTTCAAAGAATTGTCTAAATATTTTTAATCAGTATAATCCAATGTAAGTCTTTTTATTTCAAATTCAGTTTAATCCAAGTTTGATTTCTGTTCTCTATTTGTAATACATGTTAAATTTTTTATCACAAATTTTATCATACAGCACCAGGCATTCAGTTCAAACTTTGATTGAAGTAATATTTTTTTATATACATTGTGTAAATCTGCATAATGAAGTATAAGTGTTCATTTTCATTGTTGGAAATGGGGATGGGGTTATGTGTGGAAGTGTATAAGGTATGTCTTGTCGTATGATGTCTTTCATGTTTGAAGTGCTGAAAACAAGTTTATTTCATGTGTGGATATATGTAAATTTTATTCCATGTCTGAATCATCTTACATACATGTTTTTAATGCTTTGGATAAAATTCATATGTCAATGTTTGTGTTTTAATGTGTGTCTCATCATTGGTCTTGCATATAGCTTGAAAAAGAAAAAAAAATTCTTAAAGAATATTTAAAAAAAATATATATAATCTTCAAGACTGGTAAAAATATACCACTATTCTTTATTAAAATGTAAAAAATGTGTGAATTTCTATGAAAAATATAATTGTACTGTGGACAAATTTCCACATGCTGAGTGTAAATCAACGAAAATGGTTTTATATACATGTATTTTAAAGAATTGTTTGAATTGCTAGAAGTTTGATTGACATGTTGTTAGTTTCGAAAAGTGATATTATTTATGGTAAATAATTTATTGAATTATGAAAATTGTAAAAATGTCCTTTTGTGGTATTTTATTCCTCAATTAAAATGTTAACTTGTTTTTGACATTTAAATTTTTCTTTGTTGCTTTCCTGGAAATTAATTGTGTGAAGAATTTAGAAAAATGTCATCAAATAATTGTATACTTCACGTTTTTCATATTTTGAAATAAATGAACAGAGAGTATAGGATGTTTAACTATATAAAATCTTTATTTTGAAAAATTTACTGGAATTATTACTCTCCTTTAAACTTCAATACAGATTAAGATACTAATGTTTAAAAAAAATTTAATCATGATATTGGCAAGGTCACAAAATATTTTTACACACGAAACATCCAGTGAATATAAAAAGGAAATATTATTTTGTTATCATTTTCTTTCTGTGCTGGTTATTTAAGAAATGCCTTTTTTAGTGACACGAATGCAGTTTTTAAATTTTATGTCTTTCCATCTTTGTTCATTTCAGTAATATGTGTACCCGGTTATATGTGTATTGATGTATAGCTCAAATCTGCACTGATTTCTGTCAATGTAACCTGATCTTATATTATATGAAATGAAAACTTAAATTGGTTTTGGTCATTGTATAAAATACTTTCAGTGCATACTTTTTAACAAAGCTTTTATTTTTTTTATTAAGAAAGAAAAAATTGTTGAAGCAAATATGTTTAATATGGTTTCTCATATATAAGGTAATAGTGGGCTTAAAATATTTATCAGAGAATAAGTAAGTGTTTTATGATTTGAACATCCATATTTGTTAAAAAAAATTGTTACCAATAAAATATACTTAGTAATATGTGTTCTTGTTGATATTTGTCTCAATACTGGTGGCTGTTGTAGCAAACGATAAGGGTTACATTGTTAATATGGCTTTTGTCCTTGTCAAAAATAAATGTGCAAATGAATAGGCTAGTTACAGAAAATCACTTGTGTGACAAGTAACTGGATTTTGATGTGCTGTTATTTTAACAAAAATTTATCTAAGTGCTTTACCGAAAATGTGTATATTTTTCAAATGAGATGTGTTCATGAAGATGTAATAAAAATAAACCATTAATATTTGGTTTACTGTTGAATATACTTCTGTGTCTGAAGTGAATCTATATATGACTGAATTTTCCATCCTGTTATTGTTTTATTTTACCAGAGAAATTCACCAGCCAGGGAAAATGATAGTTTTTTGACAATCTGGTGTAGGATTAGCATGTAATATTCGGACATCTAATGGTACACAAAAAGTAAGGAGATACCATAGAGGTCAATCAGACTACAAGTTGACAGCATTGCCAAAAATAAAAGACAAAGAACCGTCCTTAAAATAATGCACAAAATCCTAAGATTTCGCGAAATGAACTAAACAAAAAAACCAGGGATACACTCAGGTGTACTGGAAGTGTAATCAGTACCTGCATCTTTAATGACACCCATGATATAATCTAATGAGTGATATATTGTTGCAAGGCTTTAACCACAGCAGATTAATCTAGAAACCCAGCATTATAAAAAAATAGATTAAAGTAAGCAATGCTTATTTTGTTAAACTTGAATTCATTGCATTTATAGAGGTAAATTCTTTAATAATATTATTTTGAAATGGCATAAAAAAGTTATGTCTAATACTGCCGATCCCAATAATACGATTTGCCCAGTAGCCAGTGCTTCAGTATTTGCATTCAAAAGAAATTAAATGATGAATTTTCACTTAAATTACAGTATTTAAATACATGTAATGTGAATTAATCAGATTTAATATGCAACTTCCTGAAGCAGTATTGACCATGAATATTAGTTCTGTTAAGACCCAATAGATCTCAATTTTATAAACGTTTTTTGTTCCAGCTTTGAAAACAAGGTCCCAAGAATACCTCATGGGAGTTATTTCGTGTGTATACCGAAATCTGTATGCTACATCTATATTTGCCCAACGAGAGGCTCAAAAAGTTGTGCTATATTCTTTTAATTATCATTTTTGTTTCAATATGATATTGATAATCAATACCTTTGTATCTTAAGATAGTATAAGAGTATAAACACAAAGAAATACACTTTTTTAATCTTACCCAAAATGTAGTTTTTATGGTCATATTAAAGAAAAAAATATATATCCAACATTATAGGTTATTGACTTTGATTTGAAGACACAGGTTATGCAAGTCATATTTGAAATGATTAAATAGGGGGAAAACAACATGTGGCTAAAAAGAAAACTTAGATTCATGATTTTTTTTATGCACCCCCCGTAGCGGAGGGGGCATTAAGTTTTACCCTTTTCCGTCTGTACGTCCGTCCGTTCGTACGTCCCGAAATTGGTTTCCGTTCTCTAACATTAGTTTGTCTCAACCAAATGTTATGAAACTTATATACACAATGCTTATTTCCACAAAACACAGATGAAGTACGAATTTGCGTAGCGTCACTTTTAACGTTCTTGATTTATGTCCCTATATAACGTTATATACAAGCGGGGGCATCCTCTGTGTATCATCGACACATTCCCCATTTATTTATTTGTTGTTTTTGGCTTTGAACTAGCTGTCAATAACTGCGAGTACTCTCAGATCTGTACTATGTGTCTATTTTGTTGTTAGGGATTTATAAATACCCTACAACGTCAGGTCTGTGTTTTTGTTAGATGTTTTTCTGCTTTGTATCGATCTGATGAGTGAGCCCTTTTAACTGATTTTTATAGTTTGTTTGAGAAAAAAAACATTAAAAAAAGTACAATATAAAGAGCTGAATTTAATATAGATGTTTTGAGATTGAAGATTTGAAAGAGTCTACTGGTGTGCTATTTATGATGTTATCATGTAGTTTGTGCCAATTTGTTATTGTTCTTGAGGAAAAACAAGATACTTTCCTGTGTTTTGCAGGAGATAAACTATTCGAATTTGAATGAATTGGTTATCTTTTAAAAGAGTTGATTGTTTTTCTTAGGAATTGCAAGTTTTTCATGTTCTATATTTATATATTAACTGTTTACAAAACTTTGAATTTTTCGAAATATTAAAGAGTTTCTCTCCCGGGAATAGATTACTTAAGCTGTATTTGGCAAAGCCTTTCGGAAATATAGGTCCTCAATGCTCTTCAGCTGCGTACTTTATTTGGTATTTTAACTCTTTTGATTCGAGCGTCACTAATGAGTGTGTTGTAGACGAAACGCGTGTCTTGCGTAGAAAATGTTTATCCTCATATCTATGATGAGTTTATTGTACAGCATAAGCAGATGGAGTAACTTTTTCTTCTGTCAGAGAGGCTGTGTCATTCAAGGTGATGTAACATATCACCAAAGAATGAGGTGGTTCTGTATTTGTTGGTTTCAAATACTCTAGCGATGGTCTTATTAGGGACTTCCATGCCTGCTCTTAATGGACGTTGAGCTAATGTTCATGTTCCTCATTAGAAAGCCAAGCGTGGTATTAACATTCTTGCATATATTGTTTATGTGTACATCTCATTTAAGGTTATAGGTAACGTTCACCCCATATATTTTGCTGTTGTTACATGTTCTAAAGAGTGATTTTGCAAGGTGTAGTTCGATGTGATTTTTTTTAAAATTTCTGGTGACTGAGATAACATTGAACTTATCTGGGTGGGACGCCCTTTTCCATGTAGTTTCCCATGTTGCTAATTTGTCTAGATCTTTTTGTAGAGTGGAAGCGGAACCACTGACGCAACTGTTACATGATCAAAATCTCCCTCCAAAACTACTGCTTGCTTGCGATTACTGAAGAGATTTTGTATCCCAAAATTCAATTCCCTCTGTACTCGTAATGGTGAAGTTTAAGAGAATGTAAAACTCCATGACCAAATGTTTGTTTACCATTTTCCATGTTAAGTGAAACATCTATAAACTGTAAAAATTGTGTTTCACAGATTCGACCTCTGCAATATCCATGTTGTAAGGGATATCAGATGTTAAAATTATCTGCATGTTTCATGATGTGTGACTACAAAGTGTTCTTGTAGTTTGCGAATGATACCAAAGGGATATTCAAACTCAAAAGTCGAAAACAAACTGACAATGCCATGGCAAAAAACAAAAACGACGAAAAGATAAACACAACTACATTGAACATACCAAAGATAACTAAAGACTGAGTAACTCGGACCCCACCATAAAAACCGGGGGTGATCTCAGGTGCTCCGAAAGGTAATCAGATCCTGCTCCACATGTGGCACCCGTCGTGTTGCTCATGCAACATATACATGTGAGAGATATAGGGCGGTTGTATTCAACGTTTTATGTCTGACCTTTTTTGTATACAGGTGAGACTTGTTAAACTTTCCAGTCTTCTGGAACAATACCTGTTCCAACTGACTTCTCTAAAAAGTAAAATAACAAAAATACCTAACTCCAAGGAAAATTCAAAACGGAAAGTCCCGTATCAAATGGCAAAATCAAAAGCATAAACACATCAAACGAATGGAAAACAACTATCATATTCCTGACTTGGTACAGACATTTCCTTATGTAGAAAATGGTGGATTAAACTTGGTTATATAGCTAGCTAAACCTCTCACTTGTATGGCAGTCGCATATAATTCCATTATATTGACAACAATGTGTGAGAAAAACAAACAGACATAACAGGTAATAATATCTAAAATTGGGGTACAGCAGTCAACATTGTGTTATTATCTTAATCACTATAAAAACAAATAACTATGTAAACAAAGAAAAACAAAAAGGCGTATAGATACTTTATAGAGAATGCACAAAAGCAAAAATGAAAGACAAGATTATACAAAAAATGATCATGACAATGACAATAACACAATGGCTGGATGTATAAATACTGAGCCACTTCAAAAGGATATTATCAAAAAATGACTAAACAATAAAGGTTAAAATTATACAAAGCCGATAAGAACACTATAACACGTAATTAAGATGATAATTCAATTCAGTACCTAGAAGCTATACTTCAAGACCATCATGTATTATTTGTGAAGTTGATACGGAATATTTATCAACAATGTCTTAGTATACTCCGATGAACTTTTTTAGAAAAAAGACGAGACGTTCTTTGACATAACCTTGGTTCATCAACTTTCTGCACAGACACTGGTGATGTTTTATAAAGTCTAATTAGTAGCTGCAAGCTCTTGAATACCGAATGAGTTGGGAAATGTATATCCCATACGCAGGTGAACCTGGTATATTGCTGCTAAGGTGGGGGAAATTGATAATTTCTAAATTAAAATCGTCTCGTTTGTCATAGATTTTGGTACTGAGATGACCACTTTTGTCCAATTCGAGCTATAAGTCTAAAAATGAGGTGGAGGAAACCGTGTCAGTTGCTTTTTTAATTTCTAGTTCTGGAGGATATATTAATGGAACCCAATCAGAAAAGTTTGGATTGTTAATGGAAAGAACATCATCAATATATCTGAATATGTAAATATAATGTATAAATGATCTGGCTTCTCTGATTTTCTTGTTTTTGACAAGTGTCCGAAGGAACTCCGACTCATATGAAAATAAGAAGAAGTCGGCAAGGAGAGACGAACTGTTCCCATAGGAATGCCGACCATTTGTTGAAAATGTCTACCTCCAAATTCAACAAATATGTTGTCACTAAGAAACTCCAGCATATTAATCACTTCGGTGTAGCATGTTTTACCTTTTTGTTCACTATCAACAGCATATGCCGTATTTCTGAGTATTGGTGAAACTTCGTGTGATATCTTTTTTAAATCTTGGTTTAATTTCACCTGGTCCTGCTGCCTTGTTTGGATTTAAGTTTTGTAATAAGTTTTGTTCAGCTTCTATTTTTATGAATAATTTTGAAACTGGTGGAAATTTAGTATCCTTTGGCACGTTGCACTGCTTGACAAATTCTATATGAGAGATATCGGTTGCCAATGAGAATACTGAATGAATTAAATTGCTTGTTAAGTGCAACAGCTTTTTTGTAGTGGATCAGTTAGGAGTTTGCAACTTAATTTGCTAAATTTCCCCCTGACCAAGTATTTTTGGTCATTTGAACATGGCAATCATACCACATCTCCTTATTTTCATATTGACAGATAACTCTCATTACAGACTCTCAGGCGATTTTCTTGATTTACCTTCACCAGGAACGCTCAAACTTAAACATTTAAAAGCCACGGATGCGTAAATAAGCTGAAACGTTAGGAGCTATATGAATAAAAAGGATATTAACTAAATAGTCAAATTCATCTAGGATCAACGTTGCCTGGGGAAGTTGGAAAAGGGAGACAAAAGATACCAAAGGGACATTCAAACTCATAAGTCAAAAATAAACTGACAACGCCATGGCTAAAAAACAAGACCAACAGACAAATAATAGTACACAAAACACAACATAGAAAACTAAAGACTGAGCAACATGAACCTCACCAAAAACTGTGAGAGATCTCAGGTGCTCCGGAAGGGTAAGCAGATCCTGCTCCACATGTGGCACCCGTCGTGTTGCTCATGTTAGTACAAACCCGGTGATAAGTCTAATTCGGTATGCCACATTCGGGGAACGGGATTATAGTTACGACATTTGGTACACATGACACTTTAGTTATTTGATAATTTCTTAATTAGATGAAACTGAGGTTTTAACTCCCTCAGGCAAAGTGGACCTTAGATGGATTTGGCTATTTTTTTTAGATCCTTTTTGGTCATATTGATCTTCAACTGTTTCGGTTCAGGAGAGTGCATGCAATTTTTAACGTTTTATTTTATTTTTTTGAGGATTGGGAAATTTTAAATACGTATAGGTTATAAATCATGTCAGTGCCGAAATTCAGACGAATGAGCTTATAATTCCCTCGGGGACGTACAATCGACCAGCAGCGGTATCGACCCAGTGCTAGTAAATGAAATGAAATATTTTAAAATCTTATGCATTCGAATCGCTTTTCTAGATTTACCTTCATCAGGAATGCTCCAACCAAAAAAAACTTAAACCAGGAGATGGAATTAAAATGCATTTTTATGGTTCTATGTAAAACTTAAAGCATCGTGACACCTTAAATATGGGTAAGTAATATTATAATAATAATTTTATTAAAACCTTTAATCTGACTATGCACATAAAATCATCCCAATCATGGTGTGAAGTGGTTTCATGGAAGATTTTTTGCATGACTGTAAGTAAAATCCTGTTCTTTGTGGGCTGCTATTTTGCAATTTGTTCAATATAAGAAAAACAACAGTTAAACAAAGGACTGTTATCAAGTTATGATAACGAAGCTAGTTCATTGATTCGACAAGCTATCCACCCAAAAAAAAAATTTATTATCTCTGTCGTATGATCACCCAATGTGACTAAAAATGATATTAGTCAAGATTTAACGTGACGTCAAGTTAACTTATTGCTCAATACTTATTTTTCTGTGGGCTGTTTTTGTCTGTTCATCTATTTTAAACAACTGTAATACCAATGGGAGGTTTAGCTAGCTATTAAACCAGGTTCTACCAACCATTTTCTTCTAAAATTGCCCGTACTAAGTCAGGAATATAACAGTTGATTTCCACTCGTTCCGTTGGTTGATAACGTTTGGTTTTGTCAGTTTTTATGGACTTCCCCTTTTTGAAGTTACATTGGATTTCGGTATTTTCGTTAGACTTTTTTCTATCGACTATGGTGTTGTCTGTCCTTTTTTTCCGGTTTATTTCTTTTTATTATCACAATTGGTATGTCTTACACGTTTTACAACACAAATTCACTGAAAAAAAAACTTTGTTTTGATGGATTTCATTGAATTTTCAAAGATGTAAACGATGATGAATATTTCGTCATTCCCCAGTTCATGATATCTGAAAAAGAATAATATAATTTCTTATTTCATACTGTTTCTCAATTTTTACTTTGATCGAATTCCATCAAATTTTACAAGATCACAAGATGTATGGATGTATGAAAGAAATTCTTTTTACTTTTCAAGCATTTTTTAAAATGTCCATTCGGGATTTCTTTTCTATAAGTTTTTTTCAACCTGTTATGGTTGGACATCCTTTTAAATATAACTTTCCGGACAAAGGGAATAGCAATTTAAAAAAAAATGTAATAACTTGACATTAAATAAAATTTTTAAAACATATTTCAACATAAAACAAAACAATATCTACAAGGCAAGATATTTACCCCACCGACCGCTCATTTTTACGTATACAACTAGCAAACATGTTACAATTTATTAATATAAAATAATAAATACATGACGAATAGTCAACTTTGGCTTAGTATTGTACTAGTAAGGTCACATGAATATGTGTCATATAAAAGATATAAATCAACATATCGATGTCTAGTTATACGAAATACATATCCGCTAAAGTAAAAAGAAGAAGAAAACGATTTTGAAGATTAAATATACAGAAACAAAAACTCATATGTTTAGAATTTAGCATTATCAGGCAACCGACACTTCCATCACATAAAATTTTGCCCAGCATAGATCTCCCGACAGTGATATACTAAATCTGAATAAAATTCACCCCAAGAGCTATCGTCGTACTCACATGATGATAACGAGATCAGAGATCTATATTTTAATTAGATTGAGATATACTCAAATAAGAACAAATCAGATATACATTATTTGTTCGTGAAAAGCCGGGACGAAATAAATTGAACAGTGCTATGCGATTTTTATACAATTACATGAACAATTCGGAAAACATATTATGTTTGCACAGATCAATAAGTTCACTAAGCCCTAGTCGTAATATAGTATGATTTACATATCAAATCATGCTCCCTGCATATTTTTACAACACAAATTTAGGTGCTTAACAAATTTTTGAAATTTGCCAATAATGACATCTATAGGTGACAAAAAGTTAAATCACAAAAATACTGAACTCCGAGGAAAATTCAAAACGGAAAGTCCCGTATCAAATGGCAAAATCAAAAACACAAACACATCAAACGAATGGAAAACAACTGTCATATTCCTGACTTGGTACAGGCATTTTCTTATGTAAAAGAGGGACGAAAGATACCAGAGGGACAGTCAAACTCATAGATCGAAAACAAACTGACAACGCCATGGCCAAAATAAAAAGACAAACAGACAAATAATAGTACAGATGACACAACATAGAAAACTAAAGACTAAGCAACACGAACCCCACCAAAAACTGGGGGTGATCTCAGGTGCTCCGGAAGGGTAAGCAGATCCTGCTCCACATGTGGCACCCGTCGTTTTGCTTATGTTATTACAAATCCGGTAAATAGTTTAATTCGGTAAGTCACATTCGTGAAAAGGGAAGGGTATTGTAGTTACGACATAAGGAACATATCCGATATCATCTGTGAAACGGTTATTCCATAACGGTCAACCAACTCGTGATGGCGTCCGTAAAATTTACGAAGGGATGATTTCAACTTCACCATTTGGAACTCTTGGCTTAATAGCTTCCTTGTAAACAGCAATCCTCTATCAAGGAAATCATGATAGGAAACACAAGCTCGGGAATATCGTATCAATTGGGAGATATATACTCCGTATGCAGGCGCTGCTGGAATGTTGCTACATAGAAATGGAAAGTTCACAATTGGGAAGCTGAAATCATCTCTTTTGTCGTAAAGTTTTGTTTTCAACCGACCCTCATTGTCAATTTCTAGATGTAAGTCAAGATATGAGGCAGACTTAACTGTATCTGTAGTATCCTTTATCTCTAGTTCGATGGGATAGATTCGTTCAACATAGTCACCAAATTTTGTATTATTTAAAGAGAGAACATCATCTATATGGTGGATTGAACCTGGTTTTATAGCGTTAAATCTCTCACTTGTATGACAGTCGCATCAAATTCCATTATATTGACAAACTATTTAAACATATGACCGTAGCTAAAAGGGAAGAATACTACCGTTCTCCGACCACATGGATATAAAGTGAGCGTTGCATCTTAAGTATTAGTACTAAGTGGTATGATTGGTTAATGGATGAATATTACAGAAATGATCGGAAACAAGATGACTTTAATATTCTACAAATATGTAAGTCTATAAATTTTACACAGAGCTTTAAAATGCTGAAGAATATCTTCTTTCATTAACATTTCATGTTTTGTTACCCTAATTGCCCCTGTATATATAATACAAGCACGTCTCTGTACATGTACATTGATAGCCGAATGAACGCTAGAATAGTAACGCCATAAACATATAATAATTATTATGCATATTTGGCTAAAATCTGTCATTATTATGGATGGAGTATGGTAAAATCAAAGCAACAGCATAACACAAACAGATATTTTAGTCATATCAGGATCTTTATAAAAGACATCTTGAAGCAAAATATCCTGTTGTGTAACGCTTATGTTTGTACACGTATATATCAATGTTACGAAAAGATGTCAAATCAGAGGCAACAGAAGTATACCAATGTTCAAAATTAGTAAATAAATTTTTAATATACAAGATCAAACTTACGGGAATTGCATGCACTCGAAGCGGAGCTAGAATATGTGCATCGTCAGGATAAGCGGTTTTTTTGCTATGCATACATCACCCGTCATGCAATCCACATTCAAACGAATCAAAAGATGAAGATTTTCAGTTTTTCCTGATATGCACTAACTTAGACGGTAAAAAGGAACAATGCAGTAGATATTTGACTTTATCTATTAGACTAAAGTCTTGGGTAGATCTGATAGATTTATGGCATATGTATTGTTTTTAAAATCTGATTGGCTTCATCAAAATATGTGCTTTTGATAAAAAGGTGAATTCCTAGTTGTCGATGTTTAAAGCTGTACGATTATAGTGTTTCGTAGTTTTCATTTTGAACCAGAAAGAGTGTAATATATGAATTCATTTTAGTTATTGAATTAAGATTCCATCTAAGCATAATACAGACTTACAAGAGAACATATTTATGTACTTTATATATCAATACAATAATATCGTTACATTGTCGCACATATAAATGTGCTGAACATTTGATTAAGATAATTTCATGAGTTTACTGTATGAATTTTAGACCAGTTACGTATAGAAAAGACTACCATTACTGCCAGGAAATTACCGTGAAGAGCCTTATAAATTGGAATGTAAATGTCTCGACAAAAACTGGCGCGAAAAATGTGAGTTTCGAATAATTTGTTCTTAAAATAATCTGAAAATGTTGAACATTGAAGAATAAAATATACAGTATATGAAGATACTTTAATTATTTTGACACGTTATGCCTCAAGTAGCGTAACTCTAGAACGGAATCCCCCAAAAATATATGTTATTTCTTATGTTCTCTTGTGATTCAGTTCTCCAAGTTTTTGTTCTGGATCTGATTCCAAAATAAATCATCTTTAAGTATCTTTGAAGAAATGCATTTGTCGAAATGGATATCAAAATTGATGTTCAATAACGATGGTGTCATGTGTCTTTTTATCTGATTTTTGCATAACTTTTGGTATATCTTAAATAATAAAAACATTGTATAATAAAGCGTTATATAAAGTGGAAGACAAGGGATTATATCACAATTTTTAAGCAAAACTGAACCAAACTATGAAACTGGAATTTCTCCCTCGATACTGACTGATTTGATCATAGGCATAACAACTAAAAGCAGCACAGAAGATAATGTTGTTCCGAATATAAATATCAAGAAAAAGAATCTGTCAATGACTTCAGCGGCTTCAATCCATCGCTTTGAATAAAAATCAATCCTTTCCTTTTCATCATCTTTATCTATTAAAATTTTTAATCGTCGTAGTATTTCTTCAAGTTCCCAATTACCTTCTCTGATATTACACTGCGTGGCAGTCATTTTTTGATTTTGTTGACTTTGATGATTCTGATTATTTGAATGACAGTCGCCATTCTCGTATTCAATCAAACTACACCCAGAATCGTTGGAAAATGTATTTTTCATTGTATGTGTGTATCCTTTTATATGCAATGGGATCATTTGTATATCCTCGGGAGTTTCGTTAGTCAGATGTATCATTTGGAAGCACATTACACGTCCTAAAGCAATAACACACTTTCGAAACCATCGCGGAACGTCCACTTCACGAAATCCTCTCTGATTAATATTTGATGTCACTACAGCTAATATAACAGAGACTGATGTTAAACTCATCACGGTAGTAAGATAAATTCCTACAACAAAAACAAATATTTATTAAAATAAGGGAGAGGAAAGGTTACATTTATATGATGTGTATTTAGGGTTTTTAGTTTCCATGCCCAAAAATGCTGTATGTGTATTTTGTCTCGTACATGATGCATATGAAGTGGTGTCATTTTCAGTTTCTCCTCTTATATTGTCAATGATGGTTATGTTAATTGTATTTAGCCATAGAATGATAATTGAAGCAAATATTCCATTTCATATTCTGGCCAGCAAAATTATTTGCAGAAATGGTAGTTGAATGTCAGAATACTGCTGAAGTCGACGGTAAAGTCAAGAATGAGTTCTTCTGCTCAGCAACGATCGAAGACGGTTAAATGACATGTAAGGTACAGAACAACAGAACATGCTTTGTTCAATTTATTTTATTTTGAAGTTGGAAAACTATCTCGTGTACATCAAGCCAAACCTCTTCGCCACCAAGCTGCAACGAGTAGGTGTGCTAAGTATTTGCTTACTGGATTAATATACATATTATGTTACTAGGTTAATGCCACTAACATCTAATGTGTCTTTATACTAAATAGACTTCTATGACTTTGGCAACACAATGTCTGAACAGAGTGTTTTAATGCACCATTACTAAAGTCGTGTGATTATAACTAATATATCTAAATGTCTGGGACTTGGATTCGTTAAATGTCGGAATCGCTTTATTACCATTTCCCTTGTATTCCATTATTGCATATCTATAAAATCTAAAGACGTTTACATCACTTAATATTCCCAATTTTGTAATTGATAATAATGTTATGTCGACAATAGGTAGGATATAAATCTGACAAAATCAGTCAGCCATAAATAAGTGAATTCATTGGTGGTGAGGGAGGATACTATTTCCTTTGATTCAATGTAAAGTCTGAGATGTATTATACAACATTATCATCATTAAAGAAAGTAAATATTCCTTTCCGTATGTTTGTAGAACGAGTGTTGCAAAGTTATATAAAAAGATTGGAATCTCCCTTCATCTGTGCGATAGATTTAAAACAAAATTAATTATCAGTTTTTCATTCACGGAAAATTTTAAAAACTTGTTATTATGTTTTGATAACCTATGCATAAACAACTTATTATCTATAGATTTTATTTATTTACCTATTAATGGAACAAAATTCGATGTCGCTGGCATATTGTCTGCAATAAGTAACATAAACACGGAAAAGGCAAGAAGCACAGTTAATCCGAGCGTGACCTTTTCACCACTGTCCGGTCGCATCCAAAATCCAAGTAAAGTGAGAATTGATAACATAATGCATGGAATTATGACATTATATGTGTAGTACAGTGTTCTACGTCGAATATGTAGCATAAACGTTACATCCGGAAATGGTTCAGGGCAACATGTATACGTTATAACATTTCGAACTGACTTGACGCCTACAAGTTCCCATTCACCATTACTGACAAAATTCGATAAATCTATTCCTTTTTTACTATTAAAAACATCAACCTGAAATCCATCGTATGCCCATGATCCCATTTTCATTTTACATATCTGATCATCAAAAGGGTAATATGTGATGTCAATGAAACATGTACTCCTGAGTTTAACAATTGGAGGCCAGAACACGGATCCGTCATAGGATACCATAGCAAGCGCTTCCATATAACCATCAGTATAGTCTTCAGCACTGAAATAATGAAATTGAAAGTTGAAGTGTATATAAGCAGTTTTCAACTACTGACGATATAAAACGTGCATTTGTATCATGTTTATCAATCATCATGCATGTCTCCTAAAACTAAAGCAGCACATGTGACAACTCTGATAACTTTATTGGTTGTTTTTCTGTCTTTTCTTTTCAGTTCATGATCATCAATATTGATATAATACAATTCTACTACTCAAATGTGTTTTGTATGTATTACTACCTGTTGTATGTTACGATATCTGGTAACCACAGACTTTTACATGGCATCCTTAATACTGTTAACCCATTGTAGTCTTTTGGATCCCACTTAATCTTTTCATCTATCCAACTCTGTAATATCAATTCGTTATTTGAAAAAAGAGTTAAAGTTATAAAAGTTATAAAAAAAATATAAAACCAATGACAAAGAAATATGTAAAACCAAAGGACCAGGCTTAAATAATATCAAACCTAAAGTGGTGTCAGATGATCTGAGGAATGACTAAATGTTTTTTTTGGTAGACGAAACGCGTGTCTGCCATACAAAATTATAAGCCTGATATCTTGATGAGTTTTTTCATATGTGTTTCCAGCATTGTTGTTGCACCTTTACTTTGTAATTCAAGAAATGTCTTATATAGACAAACTAGGTCTATATGTTTATCATCGCAAAATGAACAAGAAGGGCATTCTTACTCAAAACCAAGACTCTTTCATATTTAACAGTAGGTTACAAACTTTGAATTTTTCGAAATATTAAAGATTGTCTACCCCAGGAATATATTACCTTAGTTGTACTTGGCAAAACCTTTCAAAATTATGGGTCCTTGATGCTCTTCAACTTCGTTCTTTATTAAGCCTTTTCAACTATATATATTCGAGCGTCACTGAAGAGTTTTTTATAGACGATCGCGCGTCCGGCGTACAAAATGTTTTGAGCCTGGTATCTATGATGAGTTTATTTTTAACAGTTTTCAGTTTTGACGCTGTATGTGAAATGAATTCAGCTCTAACTGATATAACCATACTATTATATTTACTGTCGAATTCTTACCTGATCTAGCCATATATTTGTAGTTATGACTTGATTCTTTTCATCCTGTAACATTGAAATTAAAAAAGTATAACTATAAAGTAAAATTGTTTTAAAGTCAATAGCTTTTTTACGTAAACCGATTTATCTGTAATTTTAGTTGAAGTTCCAGACTAAATGGTTAGTTCTATTGTTTTTCGATAGATGGGTTGGTCAAGAGGATACTCATTTATTCTATAATGTATTAATAGTATGATAGTGTTTGTTTGTTGGTTGGTTAAAGTTCAGTGTCCAATGCAAATGTTCATAGTTAAGTTAAAAAAATCTATAATACATGCAACCGACAATATGTAAATGTTATTCTTTTCATTAAGATAAAAAAAAAGCAACATATAAAATGAAAGCAATAAATTAACATTCTAGCCTTATTGTCCAAAGTTCACCAAGTTCAAGTGAAAAAAGTGCATCTAAAGCCCGATCTTTGTATAATCTATACTTTTTTCGGATCTTTCGGTTTTAATGTATTCAACTTCGTGTTTGATTTGGCCTACCAACTGTTTTAGTTTGAACGTAAATGATGAGTCTTGTGTAGACGAAAAGCCAATCTGACGTAACAAATCATAAACTTGATATTTTTTATGAGTTTTTACATTGAAAAGAAGATCCCCATTTCATTTAAACCACAATGAAATCATATTCTATAGCTTGAATGATCTAGAGAGAATTGTATGCAATGGATATTTTTCTTATTCTTTGTCCTTTTTGTATACATTTACATCTGTATCTTATCATTTTTAATTATACATGTACTACCACAAGTATGATTTTCAAAATAGTGTAGTTGCGAAAGTCACAGTATATCCATGCCCAAAAAGTCAACTGAGTAAGTAGTTCTCTAAATGAACCTACAGAATGTTATAACAACATTCTGCTGTTTATCAATAGATTGCTTTATTGAATATCTGAGATAACCACAAATCCGTCTTTCTATCTTTTGTACAATATAAAAAGGAGCTTGAAATTATCCCTCCCTGAAGTTGGATATTAATACTTCACAAAATGCCATATAAATATACAATATTAGGTTAATGTCAGAAAAATATAAACGTTTTTGTGTGAGGCTGAGAAACTGGGGGTGGGCGAGGTTTAATCGAGCCCTTCCCCAGTTTTGTGCCGAATACAAAGAAGTTTATAGTTTTCTGACATTGACCTAATATTGTTTTTATACTGCAACTTAAATTCATACCTTGATAGCTATTTTAATTGTAATACAAATTTCAAACTTATTTTTTATTACTAAACGAACCCCTGATTGTGTAAAAAGTGATCCATGATGAAATTGATGTTGCACAAAATATAGCTGTGTTTCTATATTTAGGAAATAAACACAACTAGTTGCAGTATAAAGAACGATATGTAGAAGGCTCGTCTAGATGTTCAACTAAACATCTTCCTAAAGTTCATACAAACGTTTTTTTTTCAACAGTGTAAAGAATGGCCTTCGAAAATATCATGATGAGGTATACTTAACAAGCGGTGTCAATCAGATAATAAATCTTAAAAATTCTAAAGATCCACTCCAAAATCACTGTATTATATTCAGAAATATTGTTACAAAACCTTACCAAAAAGAAAGACCATTTCACGTTCAGATATATTTATAATCGTGTGTCCATTTAAAAATTGGCATTTAGGATACTGTCTATACTAGAAGGTCTATTTCATGTATAGACTTGTTGCTAAAATTTGACATAAAAAGATGACTTCAAAACTAGGATGGATGATACTCGTAACGATTTCTTTTTCTCGTTATCCCATTTCTCAGCAGCATTTACCATAACCTTTGTCCTATCGTACGGCGTTTACATTCTAAATTGATATGCTAAGCGCATGCATTTTCTCATTATACGAAATTCACTAATAGGGGTATTATCCTAACGCAAAACTTCTCCAGCAGGGTTATGATAAAGAGTGACTGAAATCGACACTTCACAAGTTTTACAGTCACAATCCCGAATTGATTGATCAATCGTCGTGGCTGTCTCTCAACTGATAGGAAACATGTTTCACGTTGCTTAAAAATAATCCCACCAAAATTGTCGTCTGATCTGTAAATTTATCTATTGTTTCTTATTCTTTATCGTGACATTTTTACTCGATATGAATTCGCAAGGCGGGTGATTCATGAATAGTAGCAGACGATTACCCTGTAGACACATCCGGTTTTGCTTCATTTTCTCTTTTCCATTTAGGTTTGTACATTCAAAATTGATTTATTAGTTTTGAACATCGGTTTTGCCTATTATTTAGGGTATGTTAATTGACGTACAGTGACAAATTGGTCATTTTGCTGTTTTTTCTTTATTAATTTGTTGATTTTTTTATGGTTTGTTTTACGTTTAGTGGCCAATAGTTCACATTTTTGGTCATGGATTGGATTCGTTATTTTCTGGGATTAATGTCCCTAGGTCAGTGGTTTTCTTTTGATTTGTTGATTTCTTTTGAACAGTAGTTTATTCTATTGTTAACTGGTATGTTTTGTATGCTTGTTGAATTGACTTCCGGTTGTTTATTTGAACTCATGATTCTCAAACATTCAAAAAGTTTAAGCCGATAATTGAAATATACCTTAAGGTAAAGTTACAGCAAATGGTCTATGTCATAGATTTTGATAACATTTGCATACAAATTTGGCTCTTTGAACTATAACTGAAAATAAAAAAAAAAATAATGGATTTACCTCTTAAATTATCTGAAATATTACTGCTTGAATTGTTTCAAAATAGGTGAACAAGTCTCCAATAATAAAACATAAATTTTAATGATATAAAATAATAATAGGGTCATCGACTTCTTTTTTGATCGATTAGCCAATCTGTTACCTAGTTGGTAGTGAAAAACGTTAAAAATCGACGTTTCACGGCCTACAATGCGATGACGTTTTGATTATTTTTTACACCTAGATAACCACTTTGAGTGAAGTATACCATGAAAACGAAGTCGTTGGCACTATTAATATTTAAAATCATTAAAACAGAAATGTATATATCAACGACATATAGTTTTTTTAAGAAAAATATATGGATTCGAAATTGGAGATTTGATGATTTAAAGACATATCTAAGAACTTTTTTGTCGATTTTATGTGCTTTCTATACAAATGTTCATCTATTTTGAAAGAATTCAATCAGTAATATCTCAGATACTAAAAGAGATATATGCATTATTTATCATTATCAGTTATAGTTCAACGAGCCAAATTTGTTTGCCAAATATTACCTTAATCTGAGACATAGCCCATTTACTATTCCTTGACCTAAAAGATAGAGATATTTTTTTATATCTTAAGGCCAAGAAATCAAGCACATATTCTCTGCTGTACGAACCCATAAGATTGTATGTGATTGTATTATCTAAATTCCTTCTTATCATCTATTACATAAGTGATTAGAACAACCAACCACAAGATGTAATCAATCCAAAATTACACTTCAACATTATTTAAATCATGATATTAAGGAAATCCCATCATGATATGATACTGGTTGTAGAAAAGATCAGATACCAAATGCCAGAGAACGATTGAACTGCAGAGGTTTAAAGCAATTTTTTTTCTGGAAAAATATTGTTCATTTCAACCTCTGTATATATGGACAGGTTGAGAACAGCAAGCTCTTCTTGCTAGATTACCAAAATTATAGATTCTTTAGGACACAAACCATTTACACTCTACCAACAAATGTTTATATACAAACCTTATTATTAGGTAGGGATCTCTTCAGTAAGGAGGAAGACGAACATATTTTAAAAGTTGTACAACATTTGATTATGGAAACCGGGAGATTTTTGCTTTTAAGTCTGGATTTTTATCTCAATTTATAACTTGAAACTTTGTAATTGAATTTGAAGAGCAACTAATCTAGAAAGGGGGAACTTATTCGGTGGTTACCTCCGGTAAACCCCTTTCATTTTTCCTGTAGTCATTAATTTTGTTTATGTGTTGCGGTATCACTAAAAGATATAGATACCAAATAAGTTTATTATACTTTTAAAATGATTTGGTTAAATTACTACACCTAGACTTTTATTGTGTGAGCTTGCATGGTACAAGTTCAATTCAGTGTGTAGCAACAAGCTTCATATTATATCGACATATCGTCGTTCCCTACGAGTCTTTTGTAGACGAAACGCACGTCTGGCGTACAAATTTATAATCCTGGTACCGTTGGTGAGTTTTTATTCAAATTGGGTTGATGTCAGTGCTGGTGGAGACTTCCTCTCTGAGGGTATCACAAACCCAGTAGTCAGCAGTTCTCTGTTGATATGAATTATTATTGATATAATATTATCAATTAATTAACTATTTACAAAACTTTGAATTATTCGAACAACTAAGGATTTTCCACCAGGAATAGATAATCTTAGATATATTTGGCAAAAATATTTGGTCCTCATTGCCTTTTTTCTTCGTTCTTTATTTGACCTTTAAACGTTTTTACTTCGAGCGTCACTATGAAACTTTTGTAGAGGAAACGCACGCGTCTTAAGCCTGGTACCTTTGGGGAGTTTTTGTCCATAAGATGGAAAGATTGTACGCTGAACTTCAATATCTATCCATCCATCTATTCACCCTACAATCCGTCAAATTCCAACTTACCACATCAAATATCTGTGTTAGTGTAATTCCGATGGTGACGTTAACTGGTTGTGAAGCATTAAACACTGGTCTAGTATTGCTGTCATAATTATTCATTAATACCATATACAATCTCTGTTCATCTGTTAACATTGGAGTTGTCGTATTAATACAAATCTGATATTCTGAAAATTGAAACCATAAACAACCATTTCAATAACTGAACGATCAAAAAACTTTTGATATACAATATTTATGTGACAATTGTTGTCTCTGATCGTTTAAATGGTCTCTTCATTCATCTTTTGTACACATTGTATCATCACAATTGAATTTATTCTATAAGATATTCGTTGGTCCTAAGTGCAATATAGTCGTGGCAGACCGGGAAGATATTAATGAAATTATTTAAGATTCAACTTTGACGAAAAGAAGCATTGCAAAACGTTTTATTGGTGCCTTTCGATGCAATTCTTTTTGGAATGCACCATAAATTATAATAACTAACCATTTTCCTTTTAGAACATCTATTTCATATCATATACAATAAACAACAATTAAGAGCTCTTAAAAATCCAGGGAAAAATTATATACAATAAACAACAATCAAGAGCTCTAAAATTCGGGAAAAATTTAATTCAGTAATATGTATTGCAAACATTATCTTACAACATAAAATTGTTGTATCAATAAGGAAGTTACGTAGGATGTTTCATTGATAATTTATAACTTATTCTGAGATAAATGACAGTTAGGTACAGTTGATATCATGATATACTTATTTTTCTGAGTACCCCTCTAATACAACTCTCTATCTTTATGGGAGTTTATGTGTTGCCAAAGTTATGATTGAAGTGTTGTTTGTTTAGATCTATGCATGTCTAAATTATAAATTGTGTCTAGGTTTTTACGTTTTAGTGTTGTTCCATCTTGTTATGTCTTATGAATTTTCGGCATTTCACTTTGACATAAAAGTATTTAGTACTTTGCCAGAAATTTTGTAATTTTGGGATATGATTATCAGAGTTAAAAAAAAATGAAATACGGTCCTAGATAATTAAAAACGATATAAAATACAAAATTTAATGGATAATCAAACTGAAACAAGTTGTTTGTTTCGTCTGCATTCCGTACGTGTTTACCTTATTCTTTCAAGAAAAGTGGGTAAATTTGTACCATAAATTATTCCTCTTATTTTCAATGTATTTCATATGGACAGTCTCAAAGTTTGTTTCAGCAATGTCGCAAATTATTTTCGATGCTTATATCATTTGTATGACCACGGGAAGACACATAATAAATATACGTAATAGATAAATTACCCTTAAATTATTCCCTCACAGGTGCAAAATGTAAAAGATGTTAAAACCACATAGATTTTGAATATCAAGGAATTAACGCCAATGCTACCCTAATCCATAAAATCAAAATGTTGATTTGCGCTACAAATTGTTGTTGAAGTCGGTTTTGATACAAAATTGCAAAATTTCATATGTTATTTGTAAAAATTTGAATTGAAGGACATTTATTTCCAATAGAATTTTGGTTTTGGCAAGAATGTCTTTTTAATTCATATTTTTCTACCAAAATTCCAGTTTTGTGCCATCTTTAGGTATATGTAAAAATTGAGTACCTGCTCCGAAACACGCCATAATGTTGGTATTATTTAAATGTACATACGTAAACTGGCATACTGTGAAATTTTAGTTAATATTTTCTATTTAGAATAATGGACAGCTGTAAGATTACATCATGGTAATGAGACAAAGGGAAGGATATTTTTTTTATTATCTTTTAAGAACTTGTTTCTATGGTATGAAAACGGGTACTCTACTTTTTACAGACCCAATGAATTACCCATAATCCCTGTAAGTCACTTTATCTTACCTCCTATACATATGATTAGTTAAAAGCAACCGCGTGGAGACCGTGTATATTTTATATGGGGTTAGTAGGCGTGGTTTATTTCAATACACAGTTAGTAGTGGTGTTACGTCCCTTTGTAAAAACATCCCGGTTTTGAGAAAAAATCTGAAAGGTTTCAACAGACAAAGGAACTGATGATGAACAGTTGAAAGAAATGCAGAAAACACATTAAAAGCTAAGAAGTTGTTATTGTTGGCATTTGTTTTTGTATAGACCAATGGAAGACGGTTCTTAATATTGAAGACTTGATCACTTATTGACAAATTCGTTACACATTTTGCTAGTGACCTAATACGATTATATATGGGTTCAGTAAATTCCCCATATATATCGTATTAGGTCACTAGCACACTATGTAACTAAAAATATAACTAATATTACGTATAATTCATACTTAATTTTTTTTATTTAAAGGGGCACTAGCTACGAGATATATAAAAAATCTCATATATTATTTTTTTTGCTCAATCATTAATGAAATGGAAATAGTGAAATAATAATTCGCTTTTAGCAGCCAGTATGGTTCAATTTTGTCAAAATAAGCTAAAAAACATTGATTATGAATTATTCACTTGCAAGTGAATAATTCGACCTCATTGCATCCGTATTTATATGAACTTCAATTCAACCCCTTAGCTTGAGATGGATAACACGTGAATTGAATGTGTAAAGTTATTTAAAGGAAAAGAATGTTAACATTGAAAGTGAAACAAAGGTAAATCATTGATTGACTGGTTCGATCCACAAAAAATCATTCTTATACAGGTAAAAACGGTGATAAACATTTATTTTTCATCAATAATATGAAATCAAATAGACCTAGAAAAACCCAACAGCACGAGTTTGCTTAATCTATTTATATCTATATTTATGTTTACATCGCTTATATGGTCATCGGATGACTTGAGAGGTCAACTCGATAGTTAATTAGATGGCGTCTAGACTAAAATTCACACGAAACGAAGCTAAGTATTTTCATTCCCGTGCCCTATTAATTGTTTATTTTAGACTTTTGATAATTTGGATAATTGTTTTACATTGTTATCAATCAAAATGAGAATTTGATTAAAATCGGTGAACATGAATTTGACAGCTAGTGCCCCTTTAAAGGGGCACTAGCTGTCATTTTCATGTTCACCGATTTGACCCAAATTCTCATATTTGATTTATAACAATATAAAACATTTATCCAAATTATAAAAAGTCTAAAATAAACAATATACCGGGCATGGGCTCGATAATATGTAGCTTCGTTTCGTGTGTATTTAAGTCTAGACGCCATCTAATTAACTGTCGAGTTGACCTCTGAACACCTCTGATTGCCATATAAGCGATATAAACATAAATATAGATATAAATAGATATCAGACTTGCGCATTTGGATTTTTGTAGGTCTTTTTAATTTCATATTATAGATTAAAAATATATGTTAATCATCGTTTTTACCTGTATAAGAATGATTTTTTGTGGATCGAAACAGTCAATCAAATGATTTACCTTTGTTTCACTTTCAATGTTGACATTCTTTTCATTTAAATAATTGAACACGCACAAAGCATGCGGTATCCATCTCTAGCTAAGTGGTTAAATTGAAGTTCACATGAATACGGATTCAATGAGGTCGAATTATTCACTCGCAAGTGAATAATTCATCATCAATGTCTCTTAGCTTTTTTTGACAAAATTGAACCATACTGGCTGCTAAAAGCGATATATTATTTGACTATTTCACTTTCATTATTGATTGAACAAAAAAAATCATATTTTATATTTTTTATATATCTCGTAGCTAGTGCCCCTTTAATTGTCATCTAACATTTTAGTTTTTTGATATTTGGATCAAATGATGAGGCTCTAATTGTCTCTTTTTTTGTATCAGTATTGAATGTACACAAAAATTTTACTACAGCAAAAACCAGATTAGTAACGATAATTCAACAAAGGTTGCAAATATATCTATAGATCCCACTTAACAATTGATAACCAAACGATGAGTATCTGTATTTACGGAATGATATATGGACAGGGTCTGATTCGGTCAGATGATTTGATTAATTATATTTGTCTTGTGATTCAAACTGATGGAACAGATAGGATACATTGGTCATATAGTACATGGAGATCAAACATTTGGCAAACAATTCATACTTAGATATCATAAAATTTGAGTTGGAGATCAGTTTATGCTACTTACACATGTCAATCACACAGGTTAAAAAGTAGATTTAACGAATAATGTTACTGTGAGATAGTTATATATTTGACTTTTATTGTGAGATAGTTATATATTTGAATTATACTTATAACTTTTTACATTCCAATTGTTTATATCTCAGAATTTCCAGTCTGGTAAGAAATAAACGCAGCATGTAGTTAACAGAATCTTGGTAAAAACTTTGAATTTTTTTTCGAAAAACCAAGGATTTTCTACCCCAGGATTAGAATACCTTAGCTTTATTTGGCAAAAATCTGTCGGAATTGTGGGTCCTCAATGCTCCTCAACTTCGTACTTTTTATGGCCTTGTAAATTTTTTTAATCGAGCGTCACTGGTCAGTCTTTTATAGACGAAAGGCGCGTCTGGCGTATAAAATTTTAATCCTGTTATCTATGATGAGTTAATCTTATACACGTACAATCAGGCAAAACTTTAAATGAAAACGCGGTGATTCAGACGTACCAATAGGACAAGTCACAATATTCCATATTCATACTATCTAGTTCCATGTATCAATGAACAAAACAAACCGGTAATGGTGTTTAATTGGAGATAGTCAGCATGTTTATTATATGACACAAAGCAAGTACGTCTCAAGTAATGTTTGATAATTAAACAGTGTGACCAATTCCTGATGGCGACAATATCATTACTTTTTATAGATATAACCCTGTTGGATTAGTTTTTGAAGTAAAGGTATACCTCTCTTTTTCAAAAGGTCATAATGAGGTTAACTGATTACGTGTTTGGAATAATGAATGTTTTATGTTATACAAGTGTTGAAACTTAAATGAAATATTGAATCTATATAAAATGAGATACGTAAAGGCATCAGGCTTGATAGTATCTATAGATTCTACTTAACGATTGATGAGCATTATTTCTATATTTGAATGTAAAATTAAAGGATAAATGGTCTGCATATTCCAATTGATTTTTTGTGATTTCCATAATAGTAAATACTTCAAAATGATATTAAGAAAGAAAACGAAAATCCTTAACAATTCAGTCACAAATTGTATCGCAATTGTATATGTGGGAATTGCAAATTTAAAACTGAACTTATTTTACTATGACATTAATTGGGAGTTTCTGATAACCCAAAGGTCTTACCAGTAGACACGACAGTCAGAATCGCCGAAATGGACAGAAAACACAGTATTCCGTAACCAATATCTCTCAGCATTTCTCTACATCAAATAGTTTGATCGTTGAACGCCTTTTCTGAAATAATAATAATAATAATAATAATAATAATGCTTTATTCCAAAAGCAAGTAGAGCTTATAGAATACATACATATTGTGATTATAATCACATGTGGTCATACGTGTATATTTAGATAAAATGGGTGTCTTCTGGTTATTCCTACATTTTGAATTTTCATATTCTGTTTATTCCTACATGGAAAGAACAATTGATGTTATTATTGCAAAATGTTTTGTTTTAGTCATCAGTGTCTAATTAAATAACAGGTAAATTTACCTGTTGAAAGTAAAGGAAAAATAATAATTTATACAACATTAATGGATAAAAACTGACAACAAGTTAATTTTTCAGGGTAAACCCATTTAAATTTATGTTTAATTTATGGTTACTTGTAAATAATAAACAAAATATTTTTTTGTTCTAAACTAACACAAATGCAAATTTATTATTTAAAAAGAGGGAATTCAATCATCTTATAGTAATTACTGGTTTATTAAGCACCAAATAAAAAGCATTATTTATTACAACATTCAACAACAACCGAGAACCATGTTTCTCGACTACGAGACTGCCATCAGGAATGTAGCAACCTCAGTCTTCCCTGATTTTAACATCACAGGTTGTTTTTTTCACTACACTCAATGTATGTGGCGGAACGCACATGGTTTGAAGACAGCATAAACTGAAAACGACAACATCCATCTACTTGTTCGGAGAGCTGCTTGTTCTACCAATTTTACCACCCAACACAGTTTGGTTTAATGCTCGAGAGGACATTAATGATGCAGATAATAATATACCAACACTTGCTTTCATATACTATGTTACTAGCTACTGGGTGGAAGGCAACCAACGCCTTTTGAACCATTTCGCAACAGAAGGTCCTAGAGCAACAAATCATCTAGAAGGCTGGAATAGCACATTAAAGAAGTTGGTCAAGACATCCCACCCAAACATCTTTAGTATGATAAAGTTATTAAACACGAAGAAGCCATTCACGCATGTACCCTTCTCCAATACAGAGCTGGTGGGAAACGTGTTCCCAAGAAAAGAAAACTTCAAAATGAAGAACTCACGCCAATTCAGTATGCTGACCCTGCTTCTCACCTCTTGCACATTGACTAAGACTTTGTAAACTCTCTATATGTTTAACAATTTAGAGCTACTGAAATATGTACTTTGTCATAATGAAAATGTTGTGCTACCATGTGTTCAATTTGTGCTAATACTATGTACTATTTACAAAATATGCTATACAATTATCTAATATAATACGTTCAAAATTAAATATTTAATTGAATTAAAATATAAAAAAAAGTTTGCATTCTCTTTTTTTCCCCACAATTTTTACCTGTACTTTACCTTGAATAATTAGTCATGTGTTGTTATAACATAATCCAACGTAATTCCACTTAATCTCTTTGTTAACAAAATAATTCTGGTAACTCCTACATGAATTTCTTAATATTTTACCTATAAAAATTCAAAATGTAGGAATAGCCAGAATAAACCCTTTGCTTACATATTACAAATATTCATTTCCCATGATAATTATTTGTAAAGCTTCAATATCTCTCCGAGCATCTTGGTAAGATAAGAAGGCTCGGGAACTATCAAGTGAAACCCATAAAGTAGCTCGAAAAGTCCTATACTGTTTTTTGAAAACTTTGATATTGAAATACAATTCATTCATATGATTCATTCATATGAATGAATTCGTCCTATTCATGATTTCTTTATAACATTGTTATTAATGTACCGGTATAGAGGGTTTATTTATTAAATCAAAATTAAGAATTTGACCAATGGGAAAAGATACGAATGCATTAGATGTTCCATTACAATAGATTAAGAAAACTAACTGTAAATTATCTACTTTACTATGTAGTAAGAAAAACAAGATCTGAAGGCCCATTTAAATAGATTTAAAACATCAATTATAAATCTACCTTCTCTAATTTCATGTCAAAGTTCCTATGTGAAGTTTCTTTTTTTGGCAAATAAACCAGTTTTCCCTATGCAAATTGTGCACACATTGTGACAACATTTAAGCTAAGTACGAGGTCAGCGAAAAGTCTTTTTTATTATATTTGTTTTTATAAACGATTAAAATGTATATTTTGCATTTAAGTGTGAACAATTTTACGTTTTAATAGTTGAGTCCGCCACGTCTAACGCCGACTTCGCAACACTAATTACTTCGGGAAAATGTAAAAGTTCAACCAATCTCTGCAGCAAAATTGAATAATTCAGCAGACGTATTACATTATGGGTACGTCACTAATTTGGACATCCTAATTAGTCTGAACGCCATTTTTGAGGACGCTAACATTGCTCTGCATACAAAATGTAGTTTACGAGGACGGAAAAAAGTTGAATATCTGAATTTTTCCTTCGAAAGTATGCTTCACACGACAATAATTCATACTTTACTTACCTGAAGATAATTACATAGTTATACATTTGTACTTCTTTAGAAATTAATAATGGTTCAATGCACATTCATAACAACAAACAAGCCAGTTTTAATCAATGTGATACAGCTGTTTACTTTGTGTTGGAATATTTAAAATCATTAATTTTTGCTAACTTTGTACTCTGCTATCATAGAACCTAACGAGTCAACAGATGGTCACCTAAAGTGTGCTTATTCACTATTCAAATCACAGGCACTGTATAGGTTAGGTATATAGGAAACATTTTTTTTTCATAGACAAGTGCCTGTGATTTGAATCTTGAACATATACTTTTACATATGTCTTGCATGTCTACATTCAATGTTGCTAAACTTTTAATATTTTGTCAATATTTGTGATTTGTATAATTTCTATCGATCTTTTTGTTACCTTTAATCTGTTTTGTCTTTATATGAAAAATTGACAAAATCTGAAAATCGTTACATGAAGAGTTACTGTATAACACTGAACTTGTCGCCATAGAAAATACTACACATTGAATAACGAACTGAACTTTGTAAAGGGGGCGGGGTTACTTCCTTAAAAATGAGGGACTATGGGGTGGATCAGGGCTCAATTCCTAAACAATGAGTGATATTGAGGAGTCGTATTATCAAGCTTTTTAATATAAGAATATAAGGGTAAAAATTGACATGAAATATATAGGATATTGGTAATACTATTGGGTAATACTATTGGGTAAAACTTTTATAAATACACACAACTATAGTTGTAAAAGCATTGTCAGACCAGTCTAGGTATTTTCTTTCTTTTTTTCCTATAGATTTCTGGACAGTGGTGGTAAAAACAAAAATCAACAACAAAAAATAAACGAACACTCGATACCACGGAATCTGCTGCTGGATTTCAGTTCCCGAGAGTATCGTCCTACATGTTGCCATTGCGCTGGCATGAATCAAATTTTCAGTTTATGAACTAAGTTTAAGTTAAAGCTTCCACAAATGAAGTTGATCCTATAAACTGCTGTTTTGCTATAATAATTTTGAGTTTGATGCTTCTAAATATTTTTGTGTTTGGCTTCATTAACATCTATTCTCGAGATTATTTGATATTATTTAAGGTTAGCTCGTGTCCAAAAGTCATGTAAAGAAAATATACATCCATATGAATTTGTCGGCCTTTGAGTAGGGTTAATGACAATACAACTGACATTTTTTTTACTAAAGTATTCCTTGTATATTAACTTTTTCATTTTAATCAATAAAATTAACGCAATTCCAGGGGTCAAATAATGTCCTTTATGACACCTCCTAATCGGTTTTAACTTACTGCAATTCACCAAAGCAATGACAGGCCGCGCACGGTAAACTTTTCTAAAACAAAATCATAAGCTGACATTGAAGAATTACGGCTATCGTAACGAACGAAGACTGCATAAGGTTATGAAATAATAATCAGTGTTTTACAGCTAAACTTTACGATTTACGAAAAATGTCGTCTTATCCGTTGTTTTACCATTTGTGGCATTTTAAATGAATGTGGATTTGCAGATGCATGCTTAGATTGAGACACTCATCCTGTCGACGCACCCGGTCACGCTTCAATTTGGAGTTCATATGCTTCCCTAAGCTTTATTTGTCCATTGTTGATTTATGAGATATGAACATCAGTAACTGTTGCATAAATTCATTAGTGCAAGCAAAAAATACTCCCTTAAGATCAAATACGAATTCATTAATGTCAAGGTTTATACGGAAGGGGTAATAAAAAAAAACTAACAGTAAACATAAAATTATCAATATTTTATTAGTGTTTGTGCAGAAGCAAACTCGTAACAAGAAAACAGAAGAACAATGCGTTTTTATTGGGAAATTGAATGTTTTATTCCTGTAAAGCTACTTGTCGCCAAAAAAACTATAAATTTTATCAAGTTGCAATATCTTTGTTACAAAATATGTTACTTTGCCTAAATGCATTAAATACTGAATAATTTTCTGAAGCTAAACAGAGGCTTCACGGTCGTAAAATGTGATAAATGAGAAAAACTTGTAGACCATATACAGTCAATCTGGCTATTCAATAATATCGCTTGTTAGTTAATTAATAGTTTATCAATAGGGGATAATTTACAAGACATTTTCTAAGAAGATAACTACATTTAATTGGTACATCTGTCTACAGCTATACAACACCAGGTATTATAGATTTCTTGGAATATCTCTAGAGTATTTTTGTTGATTATGTGACATATTTTCTATTATATCTAGACACTTCGTCTTTAGAGTCCTCTGAGACTGCACACTATAGTATTTGTTTGAAATTTTCTGCTACGATGTGTGATTCTTTAACTTATAATTAAATTGTTTTTTTCGTATGTTCGCTAATTTAAACACTTGTTGATCTCAAGTCTGTTTTGGACTATTTTTCATCTTTTTTCGCTAACATGCAACTAACTTATAATTTCCAGACTCATTAAAATACTGTCTTTAAATTATGTTTGCATAAAACATTTATGAATTAACTAATCGAAGATTTCAAATATAGAAAAATTAGTAACTTCTTAATTTCTTATATGTACTGACGGAATAGAAGCTTTACT